TTGTTTTTATTAATAAACTTATTTTAATTTAATACTTTTTCTTTGCTTTTTAAATATCTTTTCAATTGCTCAAGTACTTACGTATCCAGAACCGTATTCACAACAAAAAGGGGTCCTAACTTAATTTCTTTAAACTAGACGATCACGTGTTTTGGCCAAAGGTAGTTTTTTTGTGGTTTTAATATTCTTTTTTTTAATTATTTTAAATGTGCCCCCTTGCCCCGTTCATTACAAGGTGTACGATTTGTAAAAGAATGTCTCATAGAAGTATACCTATGAGTTTATATATTATATTTTGAGACAAAATTTAGTGTAGTGGTGGCTTAAAAGGTGCCTTCACTGGGCCAACTCAAAGAAAATATTGAAAAAATAATATTACTTACCTACCTTTTTTAGTCTGCTCATAATTCTTAATATAGTATTTAATTAATAATTAATATCCTAGATTTACTTAATAAACCACTTGAGATATTTCGTAAATAGTTTATAATAACAAGGTGTAGTACACACTTTATTTATTTAGCAGGTTATTGTCTTAATTTGATCTAATTATAATGAATTTATATTAAATAATTATTTAATATAAATTCATTCAATATTGGCAACTTTTATTAACATACATAATAATTATTTAACACCAATACATTTATAAAATACCTGAATTTAGACCTGGGCCAGTGAAAGTACTTGTTAAACAAAACCTACTCATTCAATCAAAAGTTTAACATTTCACCACTCTATCCATTGCGTTGTACTGATCTTTAAAATCATATAAAAGGAACAATTACATTTTTAAAAGCATATACCAAACAGCTTTGGACTAACAACATGGCATTCAAAGTAAGTTTTTATGGTTATAGGAAAATTTTTCATAAAATAAATAATTTATTTTCAGTTCGTAGTACTCGCTGCCTTCGTAGCCGTAGCTCGTGCCGGAGCTATCGGTTATGCCGCCGCTCCAGTGGCTTACTCCGCCGCTCCAGCCGTAGCTACCTCTTACTCTTCCATCGCTCACTCCGCTCCAATAGTAGCCAAATACGCCGCCGCTCCAGTCTACACTCAATCCTACGCCGCCCCAGCTTACTCTCACGGATACGCCGCCCCTGCCGTAGCCGCCTATGCCGCCCCAGTCTCCCACGTAGCCTACGCTCCAGTCCAAAAGACCATCGTCGCTAAAGCTCCAGCCAACTACGACTTCGGTTACTCCGTAAACGACCCACACACCGGAGACAGCAAATCTGCCCAAGAAACCCGTCACGGAGACTCCGTACAAGGATCTTACTCCCTCATAGACGCTGATGGCACCAAGAGAACCGTAGAATACACCGCTGACGAACACAACGGATTCAACGCCGTAGTACACAGAGAACCAGCTCATGTAGCCGTCAAAGCCGTAGCCAAAGTAGCCGTAGCCGCTCCAGTCGCCTACGCCGCCCCAGTAGCTCACTATGCTCACGCCGCCCCAGTAGTATCTCACTCTTATGCGGCTCCAGCCCTTTCCTACTCTGCTCCAGTACAATCTTACTACCACCACTAAATATTATTTTAGTTTATGTTTTGAATGCTATGTTGATATTTATTTGTAAATAAAAATTTTGAAAATAGGTATTTATTTAATTAATTTTTTAACGAAATATTATTTTACTTTTAATTTGTCGGATAAGTTTTAATAAAAGTGTGTTAAAAGTTTTAACATACTTTTATTAAAACTTATCCGACAAGTGCTTACCTTTTGTAGACACTTATATTACCTTTTCTTAAAAAATGTCCAACTTTGGTGAAATGTTAAACAAATATTAGAAATATTCCCCAACACCAAAACAAAACACAAAGTACTTTTCGTCAACCATGTTGGCATCTTCATAAACGAAGTGTAATAGTTACACTTCCCTTCTGAGGATGCCAAAACATTCAATTATACCAAAGTTGAAGATATAAAAAGAGTTTTCCATTTTTTTTTTAATATGTCAATTTAAAATAAAAAATACATAGGTAAAGCAAAATTGTTGTTAAAATAAAAAGGATACATTAAAAAAACAAGAACATTTATAAAATTTCGAGTTAAGTGTTAATAATTTCATTTATAATTAACATTTATTAATAAATTAAATGGGCATAATCGAGGGCATAATTTAGTAAAAAGTATTTTTTTCGTATTCCTAATGAAAAAGACCATACCATACTTATAAGTTCTATAAAACTCCGGTACAACATTTAACAAATTTGATGAGTTTGTACAAAATTGCTAAAATTATTTGATTTCGCTATTAAAATAGTTACTTCGAGTTTATCTGGTTGTCTACAAATTTAGTGATTTTAGGTAATTTGATGTAAGTATTGTTGGCAACACTGATAAAATGTCATCCTTGACGTTTCCTTCTGTAACTGGGCTGTCATTTTTTTGTATTTTAGTTAAGAATATATTCTTAACTAAAATACAAAAAAATGACAGCCTGTTTATAAACAGTTATTATCGAAATTTTTAAACTTTGTGCTATCAACAATGCTTTTTTTATTTAACTAGTATGTTCAATGTTAACGTTACCATACCGTAAACACGGGTGGCTTTAGCTCACTTTCAAACTTAATCTTAACATTTTTGTAGTTTTAACAATCATAAACATTAAATATTGTATACCAAAATTTGAGTCTTGAGTTGCTCTTTCATAATAACAATGTTATAATCTTACATAGGGCTGAGTTTCAAAAATTAAAATTAAAAACTGGGTGTGCAAAGTTACCCCCTGGTTGCGGGTTACTTTGTCTCACAGTGTATTTTCCGTATAAAATTAACTCAATATTTTATTTTATTTTTATTAGACATATGTTAGCATCGACATATAGCAATTGCAAGGGATTACCGATAAAAATAAAAAAAAATCGACCTGTAGTTAACCAAGGATCATCATTCCAAAGAATTGCGCATAATATAGAAATTAAAACGCGTTTATTTTTAAGACTTTTGCACTGATGCAATATATACAATTTTAAAGTGTAATAAACCCCATTTATTTTTTTAAAACACTGATTCCTGTAATATAAACTCAATAGAATCGCTCAATTGACAGGTTTAGACCAACAAATTATAAATGTTAATTTTATCGAGCGCGAAAAGATCTTCCATAAAAGGGCTAAAGTCACCCGCGGGGTGCAAAGTCACCCGTGTTTACGGTACACCTTTTAATTTCACAGAAAAGTACTAGTTTTAAGGTTAAAACGTCTATCTGACGGATTTCAAATTGTCTATCTGACAAATTAGTAGTATATTTACGATAAAGAATGCGAAAGCATGTTTAATGCGTGAGAAAAGTGGTTGGAAATTTGATATTTTCACCCATAATATAACAAGTGGTATGATTATCATCGATGATATTTTCGAATTGAAACCGAGCTGCAGATTTCACGAGTCCGCAGGACGAGTGAAATGTGCTGCTTCGGTTTCAATGAGTAAATATCTTCGATTATTAATCATACCACGAGTTATATTTAGTGAGAAAATATAATGAATTTTAGGATTTAACGAATTTTTAGTTTGACATTTGAAATTAAAATGTGCTTTAAAATATAAAAAGACTTTAATAAACCTTATTTATTCAAACTTACCTTAATTTCATTATCGTTTACACCAACCCATCGATCTTTTAGAGTTTATAATTCATTATTTTATTGATATATATCAAAAACAGAATTTAAATGACAACAAATGTCAAATCAAAAAAACGTCAAAATTCATAGTAACGTGTAAACAAGATGATAAAAATTATTGCCGCTGTGATAAAATACATCACTATGGAATACTGGCATTTTATTGGTTCTAATATTAATGAATTGTATTGTCACCCATAATATAACTAGTGGTATGATTATCATCGATGATATTTTCGAATTGAAACCGAGCTGCAGATTTCACGAGTCCGCAGGACGAGTGAAATGTGCTGCTTCGGTTTCAATGTCATCCTGTATATTCGGTTTCAATGTCATCCTGTATAAAGATTTTAGAACCGAAATTCGAATTAATGGGTTTTAAAGGGAAATATTTAAAAATAGAATAGCAACGGCTTAAAATAAAGATTAAGAGCTTTTTAATAGCTCAAAATTTTTGTTTTCTGACCGGTTACAAGATTTTCAGGTGGGTCTTTGAAAAAAAAAGTTCTAAAATTAAGCACCCTAATTGTATATGTAATACATGTATGTGTGTATTAGTAGGTCCATACCATTTTTTAAAAAACTAAAAAATTAATAAAGATAACATTTTTCCCACTTATTACAATAAAATAATGTTTTTTAAAAACTTTGCATTTAGCTATATATAAAAAAAATTAATAACGTTAATTATCTTTAAGAGTTTTAACATGCCTTTGTGCCTAAAACAAAAAAAGTTAAAAATAAATTAAAAATATTTTTTAAGAGTTTTAGCATGCATCTGTGCCAAAAACAAAAAAATCTTCCCAAAAAGGCGGAAATCTAAAAATTTAAAATAAATGCCCGTATTAATATAAAACATATTGATAAAATTATAAATGAAACAAAAAATATTTTGTAAATATTTATTTATCTAAAATAAATTGTAATAGACTACAGCATATTTTTAATTTGTGCAAGATCTACAAGTTTAATTAAAAATTATATCTATAGCATAATCTGCTAAAATTGTACAAAAATATATAAAGTGTAACAATAAAACATACCAAAATTAGTCTAAAAATTCTGAACATAATACTTTGCTAGTCACTCTGAAACTAAAATATTCGAATTAAACGATTGGTTCGCGTGTTCGAAGATATGACGTAGCAATTTAATTCCAAACAAAGAAATCGTTTGCCAAACTCTTCCGGGATACATAAAATATAACAATAAAAACATAAAACTCCACCGGTTTCGGATCGGGTGAAAGGCGTGGTCAAGTCTGAGGGTCACACCCGAAACCATTTTCCTATAAAAAGCAAAGTTCAAGTTGCTAAAATCATCACACTGTATTTACGTACTCGTGCATTATCAACATGGCATTCAAAGTAAGTAAATAATAAGAGTGATGATTTATAATAATAAAACGTGTAAAAGTGTCAGTACTAATTGGAAAATCATAGCAAGTACCAGGATTCAAAAAATGTATTTTTTTCAGTTTGTAGTATTCGCTGCCTTCGTAGCCGTGGCTCGTGCAGGTAACCTGGGTTACGCCGCCGCCCCTCTCGGATATGCCGCCTCTTCTTTGGGTTACGCCGCCCAAGGTATCCACTCATACGCTCATGCAGCTCCAGTATTGGCTACTCACGGAATCAACGCTTACTCTCACGGCTATTCTGCTCCAATCGCCTACGCCGCTCCCGTAGTCAAATCCGTCGTAGCCGATGCCCCAGCTCACTACGACTACGGTTATTCCGTAAGCGACCCCCACACCGGAGACCACAAATCCGCCGTAGAAACCCGCAGAGGTGATGCCGTTCAAGGTCAATACTCCCTCGTAGACAGCGACGGAACCAAGAGAACCGTAGACTACACCGCCGATGCCGTAAACGGATTTAACGCCGTAGTAAGCAAAACCCCTCTTGCTCACCATGTCGTAGCTGCTCCAGCTGTTGCCACATATGCTGCTCCAGTTGCTGCCCATTACGCTCATGCTGCTCCAGTAGCGGCCCATTACGCTCATGTTGCTCCAGTAGCTGCCCATTACGCTCATTCTGCTCCAGTAGCTGCCCATTACGCTCATTCTGCTCCAGTAGCTGCTCATTACGCTCATGCTCCAGTTTCTGCTCATTATGCTCATGCCGCCCCTGTCGCTTACTCTGGATACGCTCACCCCGTCGCTCAAGCTTGGTAAATTATCAAGTAGTTTGTTTTTGTGTGTAAATATAAATAAATTTATAATGAAAAACCTATGCTTTATTTTTTTTTATAAAATAACCAATATTATTAAAATTGTATGTAATCTGAAAATTTGGTACGTTAATAACAATGGGTAAAAATAATATTTTAAGACATGAATACTTCAAATCATAAAAATAGGTCTGATAGGTATAACTTCTTAAATAATATTGATAAAATAAAATTATAAATAAACAATTTTGTAGGTAACTTAAAGCAATATTAAAATCTATCATCAATGGTAACGTTTCTAGGATTAATTTAAAATCAAATTTCACTGTCCATTTTTTACTTTTAAGGATTATTTCTACATAGTACTTATCTTAAGATCACCTACAAAACTAGTTATTTAAAATGATATAGATGTCGTAATATTATAAAATCAGTCAAAATAAAAAATATACGCAAATTTGTATATATATATGTTAATATTTTTTAATTACTTTAAAATGTCATTTTTATTCAAGATTTGTACTTCCATTAATCCTTTTAGGACTTTTTGATATATAGGTTTTATTAATTTATCCAAACAACCTACATAAAAATTGTTTTAATAAAGGTGTGGCACCCATTACATCTAAAGTTTAAGTTCGCCACTCTAAAATATATAATTTATCGTATTATAACAAAGTGTTTCTTAATTTTTGTATTTGTCAAAATGCCGTAATTAATTATACATTATGATAAAATAATAGCAAATATCGTTAAAAATTTTTTAAATTTCTTTGAAGTAAAGAACGAACTTGAAAAGAATTAAAAAATATCTTAAAATGACCGTAAGATTTCGTAAAAGACATTTAGATAAAATCTACAGTTTTTATCAGTAAATATAATAAGCTGTAAAGGATTAATTTAGTTGTTTTGGAATTGCTTTAGATTACTAATGACAATTATTATAAATTCTTGCGTATTTAAGGAATTTAAAGTGTTTAAAATATTATCCTTCTTTGCTAGATAAACAATTTTTTGTTTACAATATTTTTTTATCTACTACCATTGACAAGCTGTGACTTTATGGCGTTTTAGTCACGGGCTGAAGTTAGCTTTATTATAAATTTGCGAAAATGACGTTAAATACGTTAAAAGTTGACAGATGTCAAAGACAAGAAAAATTGGTATTACATTCGTTTTTGTGTTACGTAGATGAAGTATAGTACCAACTCGTTATTTAAATTTCTCTAGACACTGTTTTAATTAAAGCTTCGTTTGTGTCTAATAAAACTCGTAACCAAAATGGCGTTTATAAAACTAGGCCGTTAATGGATAAAATCATTGTTTAATAAAAGATTTTAATTTTTTTGAAATTTTATTTATTTACAAAATAAATAAGTAATCGGTCTAAAAATCATACATGACATCAAAAAATTACCATACTTTGCCTACGACTGGAGCGGCGGCGGCATAGGAGAGAGCTGGAGCGGCGTAGGCATGAGCGTAAGCTGGAGCGGCGGCGTATGTGTGAGCGTAGGCTGGAGCGGCGGCGTAGGTGTGAGCGTAGGCTGGAGCGGAGGCGTAGGTGTGAGCGTAGGCTGGAGCGGCGTAGCTGGAGTAGGTGTTGACTACTGGAGCGGAGTGAGATACGGATTGGGTGGAGTAGCTGGAGACGGCAGCTGGTGCAGATGCCACGACGGTCTTAGCTACTGGAGAGGCATAAGACAAAGCTGGAGCGGCGTAGGCGTGAGCGTAAGCTGGAGCCGCTGCGTAGGTGTGAGCGTAGGCTGGGGCGGCGTAGCTAGAGTAGGTGTTGACTACTGGAGCGGAGTGAGATACGGTTTGGGAGGAGTAGCTGGAGACGGCTGCTGGAGCGGAGGCTACGACGGCCTTAACTACTGGAGAGGCATAAGACACAGCTGGGGCGGCGTGAGCTACGGTGGAGTAAGAGGTGGCTACGGCTGGAGCGGCGGCGTAGGTGGCTACGGCTGGAGCAGCTACTACGGTTTTGGCTACGACTGGAGCAGCGGCGTAGGTGGCTACGGCTGGGGCAGCGTGAACAAGAGGAGTTTTGGATACTACGGCGTTGAATCCGTTGACGGCATCAGCGGTGTAGTCTACGGTTCTCTTAGTTCCGTCAGAGTCTACGAGGGAGTATTGACCTTGGACGGCATCTCCTCTGCGGGTTTCTACGGCGGATTTGTGGTCTCCGGTGTGGGGGTCGCTTACGGAGTATCCGTAGTCGTAGTGAGCTGGAGCATCAGCAACGACGGTTTTGGTTACAACTGGAGCTGCTACGGCAACTGGGGCGGCGGCGTAGGTGTGTACGACTGGAGCTGCATGAGCTACTACTGGAGCGGCAGCGTAGGTGGTTTGAGACACTACTGGAGCGGAGTGGGCTACAGTTTGGGTGGAGTAGCTGGATACGGCAGCTGGTCCGTAGCTAGAATAAGCTACTGGGGCTACAGCAAGATTGCCAGCACTGACTGCGGCAACGAGGGCGGCGAATACTACTACCTAAAATTACAAATTACATAGTTATTAACAAAATCAACGACAAAATGGACCAAATAATAGTAATGCACTTACTTTGAATGCCATGTTAGACTCTTGATCGTTGAGTGATACATTTTGGAAGTCGTTTGGTTCCTTTTATATTTCGCAGATCTGGAGGCGTGACCCTCACAGAAAAAAATTCCTGTCAAGTACGACCACACCTAACCAAAAGCGGTTGATAAGCAAGCACATACATTTCCGTGCCGTTTTTTTTTATTTTCATGCCAATTTACCCGACTACAGACAATAAAATATATTACGTGCCCTTACGCGACATCCTGGTACGAAATTTTCCGACGCACAATGCAGTTTTGTAATATAAAAAAAATACCATGTATTTTTGGGGAATTTAAAATCTCGTTTTCCTTACTAGATCAAGTACAAGCCAAATTTAGATTTTGCTAATTTACATACTGCCTAATACCGATTACAATTTGCCCTTTAAAAATACTTGAATAATAAATTTATATCATTAAATGCTTTAAATAGCTAACACAACATTATACGCTCTAAATATTACTATTTATTTTTTTATGAAACTGAAATGTTTAACACCATAACTTTTAGCAAAGTGGCAATTATCAAAATATATAAGCGCATTAATTTTTACCAAGGTTTTGTAATAAATTCCTCTAGTTTTTTCTATTTATTAAACAATTAAACAAGCAAAAAAAATCGTCTGGTATTTACCAACAAATTAGCATACCGATAAAATAGAATTAATTTGATTTGTGTTCGATACATTTAATCGTTTTAATTATTTAAAAATCGATCCCATAAATATTAATTAATATTTTGGCGCCCACTTAGTTAACCATAAAAATGCCAAAGGTCCACGCACTTTTTGTATGCGAATTCCCAAATTTAAATCCGGTTCGTGTTTTCGTTAACTTTGACCGCTTCGAATCGTGTGTCAAAGAGGTTAGAGTCCTTTTTTATCATTAAAATAGTATATTATGTATCAAGTTTGATAAACGCCATTTTATTCACGATTTTTGTTTAATTAAATGTGTCATAAAAAGTTTATAAACGAGTTGCATGCTATACTTTTTCTACGACAAATAATTAATATTATCCAAAAAATGATTAAATTAAATATTTTTATAGAGCGACATCTATACGAGATTAAAGTATCCCATCCCAAAAAACATTTATGACGTAATTGAAACCATTACGATTACCCGTTATTAATTTTAATTAAACTTTATTATAAAATTATTGATACTTTAAAATATTAATATAACTTCGAAATAGGATTATGTTAAGAACATAAAATATACTTTAATATTTTTTTTACTACATATAATTGCAAAATATTATCACAAAGTATTATTTGAATTTGCTTTAGAATTTTTAACTTGTAAATCTACCGGCGCGCCGCGTCGTTAAAATGTAAAATTTTTTGTGTAAATCAAATCTTATTCCTTGTAAATTTACGAAATAGAAGCCGTTTTTTACAGTAAAAGTAAAAAAAATGTTTAATGGGCACTGCACATGGGCGCCGGAAGGAATTCGTCTAGGGGGGGGGGCCTTAAAGTTTTTTACAATTTTGATAGATGTTACTTATAATCAAGTTGTACTGTAGAAGTTCACATTAAACTTAAGTCAAATATAATATCATCTTTATATGTATATTTACCTATTTATTTATATTGGTACATATTGCAAAAAATACATCACAGTTTTTTGGTAAATATATAAATATAAAAAAATTGTATCGCCGAGGAATCTCCTCTAGTAGTACAGCCGTCTTATGTATACGCTATACAAATTATGATAAATTAAAATATAACAAAAAAATTAAATACAAACATGAGTAATATTTTAAAAATAAGTTATAACAATAACAAAAACTTGGTTGCACTGTAGCGACTTTTTTAGGTAATACATATCGATATTATGCTATAGCATGACATACAGTAGTAATAACAGGATAATTATAAGCAATTTTTATGTGTCTTATTTTTTGTTTTGCAACACGCCTATTAGGTATTATGGTTATTTATAATATTATACAAATTATGGAGTACCGGAATTTCTTGGTATGAATTTCCAGGGGGGGCCCGGGCCCCCCCTGCCCCTATGTAGCGGCGCCCATGGCACTGCACGCAACATTTTTAATGCTTTCTCAGTTAAATCTAGTTTACTGCACTACTTCGGCGAAATTAAAAGGTCAGTACAAACAAATATATATATATATTTTTTAAATTGGCTTCAAGAAACTATTCTATACTTTTGTATTTTTGTATTGAGATAATAAAATACTTAAAAGTTTTAAGTTAAAACTTACATTTGCGGTTATTTTCAGATATTCCTTATTCCAATGCGTTTTTTAATGAACGGCTTGAAAAACATACGCAAACATATCGTATTTAATTTTATTTAATTGTTCTTGCTACAATGTTATATTAAATAATTACTATTTATAATTAATATAAGGATTATGATTCTTAAAATATTGTTAAAATAAATATATATTTAAAGTTATACGCTAATAATTTTCTTATAATATAAACAAATGCACCACTTTTTTTGTCCTAGAAGTCCTTTTAAAAACTCTTTTTTTCCTAAATTGTACGAAAAAATAGGTTTATTTCTTTTTTGTACCTTTTATGATAATTTTAATATCATCAGTTACATTTAAACAGTTATATTTAAATTTATTAGCAGTGGCGTGCGTGTGCATAATAAAAAAGAAACAAAATCGATTAATACAAAGACTTAAGCCACGAAGTAAATAAAGAACTCTTATTAGTCCTAATGATTGGCGAAATTATCTTCGCATGGATGAGGATAATACGTGCATGAGGCCTGCCATATTACCACATAAAGAATCATGAAGATTTAAAATTTTCTAGTATCAGCTTACCTCAATCCTCAAGTAAAATAGTTCCGTAGACCCGCAGTGCTATTTATCGTATATGAAGGTAAGTATTAATAAGGAAAAAAATAAATACCTATTAATATATTTAAGATTTTTTATTTTTATTATTTCTTGATCAGGTAAGTGTACATAAAAGTTTGACATAAGGGGGGAAATTAAAATGCTTTCAAAGCTGTCTTAAATATGTTGGTATTATTTGGCTTGTTTCGCCTGATTTGTTGCCAGACTGTTTTAGGGTGATTATATCATTACTCTCAGATGAACGTATCTGAAGTAATTGAGTATTAGTTATTTGTGTTTGTGGTGGATACATTTCTTGTGCTTGAAATAAATAGGGTAAAATAAATTTTGTGATCCATGTTCATGACGAAAGGAACTTTATTGGTAAAGATAGGTATTATATTGGTCAGGATAATAAGAACAAACAGACACATCTTTGTTTAAGGTTTGCATTCGTAACATCGCCCATTTCTGCCTCAAACAATAGGTCAGTGTATAACCTAGTTTTTCTTGGAAGTATTCTCAGTTTTGATGCAACATTATTTCCAAAACTGATGAATTGGTCCTTATTATTATCTCGCAGCCTCTCTCCAACTAGAGCAAAAATTTCATCTATTTGCTCATCATTTATGTATTTTATGTTTTATTACTAATAGCTATAGTCAACGCAAATTATGAATTCATTATGTGTGATTTTGGTATAAATGTTCGAATATCTGACGTAGGAGTTATTGGCCACACTACATTTTAAAATAAACTTAAAGATGGGAATTTATCTTTACCACTTCCAACAAAACCTAAATGTAGTAAAAATATACTGCAATTCGTTTTCAAAGGTGACGAAGCAAGATGTAGAGTTGAAATGGCTTTTGTTATATTATCTGCTCGTTTCAGAATATATCAAGAATTGATTTAAAATAAAGAAGATGGCACTATAAATTTTGGATTACAAACCACTAAAATGGCAATATTGCAGCGCGGTTACAACCGAAGAAGTAGCAATGAGGCAAAAGAAGTTAGACTATTGCTTACGAATTATTTTTGTCATGAAAGTACTCTACCCTGGCAAGTAAAAATAATACAGTAATTTAAATATATTATACGTATTACATATATACAATATAAATAATGTTATTATAATTTTAGTTCAAAATTAAACATATTTCAAGTTCAAATATGCTTTAACTCTACAGACGATCTGGGCATTTCTTGATCCTTAGCAAAAAGTTACAAATTGAGTAATCTTATTTGTGAATTTACATGCATGACGTTATAGTATAGTAAGTACCTACACAATGTGTAGTTCACATAAATCAGTATCCCGGCGCATTCGCCAATTTTGCAATATGCAAATAATTATATTAAATTATAAATAAAAAATGTGTTTAGGTTTTAAAAGTGATTTTATTTACATACTTAATCTAGACTGTACACTTGCATAGCAAATTACCAGGCTTGAGTGAGGGCTGGGGCGGCAGCGTAGGCGTGAGCGTAAGCTGGAGAGGCGGCGTAAGTGTGAGCGTAGGCTGGAGCGGCGGCGGCGAAGGTATGGGCGTAAGCTGGAGCGGCAGCGTAGGCAACTGGAGCAGCTACAGCTGGAGCGGCGTAGGTGGCGGCGACGACTGGAGCGGCAGCTACGGCGAGTGGAGATTTGCTTACTACGGCGTTGAATCCGTTAACGGCATCGGCGGTGTAGTCTACGGTTCTTTGGGTTCCGTCGGAGTCTACGAGAGAGTATTGACCTTGGACGAAGTCTCCGCGACGGCTTTCGACGGCGGATTTGTGGTCACCGGTGTGGGGGTCGCTTACGGAGTATCCGTAGTCGTATTGAGCTGGAGCATCGGCTACGACTGTTTTGGTTACAACTGGAGCGGCTACAGCAACTGGGGCGGCAGCGTAGGTGTGTACGGCTGGAGCGGCAGCATAGGTGGATACTACTGGAGCGACGGCATAGGTGGATACGACTGGAGCAGAGTGAGATACAGTTTGGGTGGAGTAGCTGGAGACGGAGGCTGGGGCGGCGGCGTAGGCCAATGGAGCGGCGTAGCCAATGTTACCGGCACGAGCTACAGCTACGAAAGCAGCAAATACTACGAACTAAAAAAATATATTGTTATAATGTATGCAATTCAATTTTGTGATAATAATCTTACTTTGAAAGCCATTTTAGTTGTCTTTGAATGTTCGTCCAAATGTGATTTTGCAAAGCGTCATTGGAGTTTATATATTCGCTGGCAAATTACAGGAATTAATAAAATACAATAAATAGGCGTGGTCCGGTTCACAATAAGTTCAAGATCACTTTTATCAAAGTGTAGCATTTTGGGATTTACGAGTTTTATATTTCAAGTTCCCATATTGTTGCTAAATAAGAATAGCATTAAAAAACTTGTTATATTAGTTTTTATTAAACCTACTTTTTAGATTTGGCGCCCACGAAAATAATTTATATTTTTTTACATTTAAATGTTATTATTATATATATTATTATATATTATTATTATATTATTTTGTTTACCCAAAATACCTGCATTGTCAAACCCATTTATATAATGATATTTGCAGTAAAATCTTTTGTTGTGCACAACAATTCATGAATATAACTTTTTTAAACAAATCTAATTATTTAGGTGGGCTCCGCACCAATTCGATCTTTTTAAATATCATTTTTATTTCTTTCTTTACTATATAATAAATGTTTTAGTTGAAATATTAGAATAAATAACTTGGAAGAATAAAAATCCACTTTAATAATAATTTACTTATTAATAATCGAATTTTTATTTAAACATCAATATATTAAATAATAAGCATTAAAATAAATGAAAACCATTCTATAAGCACAACGCAGTTTTTTCCCATATATGTTTAAAATTAGCGCCTATTTGCTGTAGAAATCATGGTTTTAAGTCCGTGACTTACGATACGTACTTACAAAAAAGTGAAACTAAAACTGCGTCCATCTTCCTCTTTTTTATACTCCTCAAGATAAACAATTTCTCAAAATCATTCCTCCGCCAAAGTTGCATTTAATAATACGTGTTGTTGTAAACCTAAGGGACGGAACTACTATGGAGCAACTGCCCACTAAAGAGCAACTTGCTCAAATTCTAAAATATAGTTATTTTGCGAATCTCTCTACCAAATATTTTCATTTTGGTCTTAGAATGCTCGTAATACATCGTAAAAATGATATTTGATAGAAGCCACCTGTTGGCAATTCAAAGATTCCTGAAATTGAATATGAAAAAATATAACAAAAATTATACACTTAACATTTTAATATGAACCTAAATATAATTGAATTTTATATTATAAAGGTTATATACTTAATAACATGCATGTAATTTAAACTTTAAAATATTAGACTAATTAAAATATGTATATGTATCATTGAATTAATTATGCTAAAATTTCTTGGACACGTTTAATTATTTAGTTGATACAATTTGGAAAGTAGCGGAATTCCATAAAACACAAAAATAAAATTTAAAAAATTCGCGATCTTGAACTTAACTTTGACATGACCACACCCATTTAAAGGATATATAAAAGACCAGAAGTACGAACCAGAAGTCACATTTGGACGAACAACCAAAGATAACTAAAATGGCTTTCAAAGTAAGAGAATAACCACACAATGTAATTGCATACATTATTAACAACATATTTTTTATTTTATTTTCAGTTCGTAGTATTCGCTGCTTTCGTAGCTGTAGCTCGTGCCGGTAACATCGGCTACGCTGCCCCATTGGCCTACGCCGCCGCCCCAGCCTCCGTCTCCAGCTACTCTACCCAAACTGTATCTCACTCTGCTCCAGTCGTATCCACCTATGCCGCCGCTCCAGTCGTATCCACCTATGCTGCCGCTCCAGCCGTACACACCTACGCTGCCGCCCCAGTTGCCGTAGCCGCTCCAGTTGTAACCAAAACCGTCGTAGCCGATGCTCCAGCTCAATACGACTACGGATACTCCGTAAGCGACCCCCACACCGGAGACCACAAATCTGCCGTCGAAAGCCGTCGCGGAGATTTCGTCCAAGGTCAATACTCTCTCGTAGACTCCGACGGAACACAAAGAACCGTAGACTACACCGCCGATGCCGTTAACGGATTCAACGCCGTAGTAAACAAATCTCCACTCGCTGTAGCCGCCGCTCCAGTTGTCGCCGCCACCTACGCCGCTCCAGCTGTAGCTGCCCCAGTTGCCTACTCTGCCGCTCCAGCTTACGCTCACACCTACGCTGCTGCCGCTCCAGCCTACGCTCACACTTATGCCGCCGCTCCAGCCTACGCTCACACTTACGCCGCCGCACCAGCTTACGCTCACGCCTACGCTGCCGCCCCAGCCCTCACTCAAGCCTGGTAATTTGCTATGCAAGTGTACAGTCTAAATTAGTGTGTAAATAAAATTAAGTTAAAAAACCTAAACTCATTTTTAATGATTTTTTTTATGAATCCCTGTTTAGTTCTTATTATTTATTAAAAAATATATAATACGATATCGACGTACAAATAAATGTAATTTTGGAAAAATAAAGAATGTGCTCGTTGCATTTTTTAACTTCAGGAAAATTAAAATGTTAATGAAGTAAATGAATAAATCAATAATTTATTAGATGCATGGGCACCGGAAGGGGGGCAATAGGGGGCAGTTGCCCCCTCTGTAAAATTAAAATACAAAGTACTTTACAAAATCACATTTAAAGCTCATTTAAATATTTGAACATAAATACTTGAAATTGCTAGTAATTTTGTTTGCCCCCCCCAGATTATTTTCTGCCGGCGCCCATGATTTCATGTACCTACATCAGTGTTGCCAACCTCAAAATAATAATTTTGGTACACATTTAGAAAAATTATGGTACATTATGGTACGACCCAAACAAATATTATGGCACAAATTATGGTACATTTTAGGACTAATTTGCACATATTTTCTGAGGGCTCGAAATCTATACAATTTTTTTTTTAATTTTTTAAACCACTCGAAAAAATCTTTTCTTAAAAACCATAGAGGTGAAAACCAAAAGATTGAATAGAAAAGAACATAACAGTTATAACTGCTGCTAAGCTAGAACATTAAATTTTCATAAACAGCTGTTTATGAAAATTTAATACTATACTGGCAGGACTGATCGCAACGTTGCCTAATTTATTTTCGGTGCAAAAGCATGCTTAAAAATTATATTACTTAAATTATGTTAAAGCAATATTGTAAAAAAGAAATTATGGTACAACTATGGTATTATGGTACCCTAAAAAATAGAAGGTACAGACCTTTAAAATTATTGTACAAATGTATGGAGGCAATTTTTCACATAATATGTGAAAAATTGCCTCATATTATGAATAGTTAATAGAAACTAAGACAAAAAAAATAAAATTACAAATAAAATTTAACCACAATTAGTTTGCTTAACTCGAGCATTTTTTGGTTAATTACCATTTTTAATTAGTTCGCAAAATAAAAGAGTTTGTTGTCATTGAAATTACGACAATAAAAAGTTGAATTTTATTAACTAAAAAATAAATAAAAATTATTGCAAAATTAAGTGGCTACTTAAATATACCTTATTTATTATATTTTATCATTTAAATGCCTCATTACTAAATGGTAGTTCCGCGACAGTGATATTTACATTTTAAAATATGCATTTTATATATTTATATAATAAAAATTCTACTATAGTATTTAACTAAGAACTTATTAAATAAAAACAATATGGAACTAAAATGGTGTTAGGTTACATTACAGATTAAATTAATATAAATTTTTAACAGGCGAAATAACCGGCATGTGTTATAAAGCTGGAGCGACGATTCTTTCATAAACCACTGGAGTTTCACTTACAACATAACATCGTTTACTCTTTCTTAGACGAAATAGGCATTGCAAAAATTGTAAACGAAGCAATATTTCTTTTAACTATTACAATAAAAAATTATACTTTTAATTTTTTGAAATCAATTTTAACATAGGTTTGCCAGATCTCCGGTATTGGCCAGAAGTCTGCGGGTTTTTGGTCTCTTGTCAGCAGGCCTGGATTAAGGGGGGGGCTAAAGGGGCTGAAGCCCTGGGCCCCGCGATTCAGTAGGGCCCCGCTTTGAAAAAATTTCAGCCGAACAATTCAACGAATTTTCAACAACTAACAACTACTAATTAATTCGACTGTGGTCGACTGGGATCAGTCAACAGTCACTAAAAGGAAAAATAATAAGCCATATTTTGTGGACAGGGATATGTTTCAAAATATCAAGCAAAAAGCAAAACGATTACCTTTCAGAAAAGGCATAGATTAATATATTTCTATGAGAAAAGGCGACAAGTGCACGTGCGAGGCGGCGTCGGCGGCGACGCCAAAGTCAAAGGCCAAAGGCGGTAGTAAATTTTAAAACCGCCGCATCGCAAATCATAAGTATAAGACACAATTAGACAAAACAAACACAATGTACAATATGTCATGTGTGCCGCGATGCCCCGATTAAATTCAAATTGTCTCTCTTTTCAGTCCTCTGAGTCTTCCTGTATAGTCTGTTAGTATTCCTCAAAGTAATCGTGAATATTTTGCCTAAGTGAAGTGTCTGTTTTTTTATTTAATTATACTTTATTTTGTGAAATTCCGTGGATGATATATGTATATTAGGGTGAGCGAAAAAAACTAACCTATCGGATTTATGGGTTAAAATGAACCTACATACCGAGCAAAAAATTTCCCTGCAAGGCAAAATTTTTTGCTCAATTTTAAAAGGTGTCGGTGAGCATTCCAAGTTTTCCATTGAAATAACACGTAAAAAAATCTTTTTTCATTAAAAAGACTATAACTTTTGAACCGTTTGAGATAAAAATTTTTACGTCGCGGATTCTTGTAGAGCATAAAATTTCCCAAAGAATCTATACCAGGATTATTTTTTTAATTCAAAAATTCGTATGTTTGAAAGCTAAGAGCTTTTCAAAGCTTTCAAACATACGAATTTTTGAATTAAAAAAATAATCCTGGTATAGATTCTTTGGGAAATTTTATGCTCTACAAGAATCCGCGACGTAAAAAATTTTATCTCAACGTGTTATTTCAATGGAAAACTTAAAATGCTCACCGACACCTTTTAAAATTGAGCAAAAAATTTTGCCTTGCAGGGAAATTTTTTGCTCGGTATGTAGGTTCATTTTAACCCATAAATCCGATAGGTTAGTTTTTTTGGCTCACCCTAATGTATATATTATATATATTATAATAAATAGTTTGCAATACTCAGCGTTGCATGGTAAGTGGAGATAATTCATTTACGAAAAATACTAACCGTAAACCGAGGCTTTCTGACAATTTTTAATATCATAAGATTTGAAATTTTCTCTTTCGATTCCTTAGTGATAGGTGTATAGTGATATTGTGTATAGAAAACTTAATTAAGGAAACAAGATATATTAATTACCTGAATTAGGTACAGTTCAATAATTATAATTGGAATAGTTTATAGGTAGTTGGGATGACTTTGTGACAGCATTTTTTTCAATGAGAACACCATTCTATAGTGATAGACTGCTGAGACAATGTAACCTCACCAGTATCTTCTTCACTTTAATATTATTTTTATCAAGGTAATAGTCATCCACCGATGTGATAACTGATAACACTATGATGAATCGACTTCAATCAAGGCCGATTAATTAAAGATTCTGATTTGATTTTTGAAAAAGAGGGGAGAATGTAAAAAAAATTTTTCGTGATCATTAAATTAAACCATATGTGATTGCGAAACCTCAAGTTCAGGGTTTTTTTTTGTGTTGTAGTGAAAAATGGAATTTCATTAAATGTAATAATTAGAAATATATATCGATGACTTTCTGCCAAAGTATCGTAAGCAACATAACTAAAATTTCGGGAATCGAAAACATTTTTTGTCTTAAAAACTGTTTCAAATTAAATATAGCCTAAAGGTTTTATAACAAGTAAATAGCTTATAATTATAGCTATTTACTTGTTACAAAACCTATAGGTTATATATGGGTTAAAACAGATTTTAAAATAAAAAATGTTTTCAATTCCCGAAATTTGAGTTATGTTACTTACGATACTTTGGCAGAAAGTCATCGATATATTAGGGTGATTCATTTCCGCAAAGTTTTTGTTATTTTCGGTGAAAAAAAAATTCTCACCAAGTTTAAGCAACATAGGTACTTTTGTAAAATATGTATAATAGTGTTTTTGTTACATCAGGAATATAGTTTTTTTAAATATTTTTTTGCATTTTATCCACAAAGGGCCCTCAAATTTTTATTAGCCCTGGGCCCAATGAAAGCTTAATCCGGCCTTGCTTGTCAGGTGTTTAATAAAATCTCCGGGTTTTGCAATAAAATAACCCGGTTCTCTGGGTTAACAATAAAAATATTATTTAATTCTAAAAATAATCGTTTTTATTGGCATGTTCAAAGCTTTTACTTTTTAATTTATCGCCAAAAGTACATTTTTTATCGCCGTTTTATTAATTTTTTATACTCTTTTATATAAGTAAAAATAAATGACATGCTTGGAGAAATCTCAAGATTTCCACCTAATTTGACAATAATATTCATTTGTTGGAAAGAAAATGAGAAATGAACAAAAACGTACGAACTAATTTTTAATCCAAAATTATCCGAAAAATCCTTAGACCATATAATGTTGCGAATTAACCATTAAAGGTTTTTTGTATTTACTGGGGTTTAAATCAAGCAAAAGCTTATATCAAGAATACAACTTTCTGAGAAATGTAAAGTATTTATTTTTCATATTTGTATCATTGGTCATATATACTGTATATCTCCGGCTGAAGCTGACAAAGCTGGAGCGGCAATTTTGTGCACGATGGGTGCGAAGATTCTTTGGTGAACCCTCTTTCGCGGAAAATAAGGTTTACTCTTTCTTGGAAAATTGGAGCCTGGCTGTGGGTCCTTTTGAACCTGAAGCAGTCTCTACGAAGGTCGAGTATTCGGAGACGGTGGGTTCTTCAGCAACGGTCTTGAGGATAGCGTTGTGAACTACTCGGGCGGCGTAGGCTTTGGTGACGATTCTATAACTGCTGACACATCTAAAGATAGGTACATACTCTAAGTTTATAATTTTAATAATTGTTATTTTAATTGTAAGTACGTTTTATGTAATACATAATATGTATTGTTTAATAAATAAAACTGTGCCTTGAAGATAAATGTTGTATGCCATTCGGCTAAGAGGTGTCCTTTTGTGCTTCCCTCAATTGTAGGCCTTCGCTAACGCAACGTACTTCAAACTTTAAGCTCAGCACAAAAAGTCTCACTTCTCATCCTTATGAGATAAATAACTATAATATTAAAAAAATATTTAAAATTTGATTAGTATTTAACGATATAATTTTGTATAATAATTCTGATTTTGGAAACTTAATGTTTTACTAATTAATAACAATTGTGAAATATACGGCAATAATTTTCTCCATTTCTTTTATGAATTTCTTTTTGTGTTTTGGACACCTGCTATAACTATTTTTTAAACAAGCATGGAGCTTAATGTAACTATGTTTTGGTAATTTCCTGTATCATGTATCTTAAGTAATATATTTAAAAATTTATAAATGAATTAATTAATTAATAATAATTTTTATACAAGGTTTTTTTTTAATTGGATTTGATACCTAATGGGCCTTTTCTGAAACTGTTAAATATTATTTTTTAGTTGTATGTCTAGTTAGTTGACCATAAGCGAATCATCGGGAATTAAACCATTCCTATAACGACATCGATAAGGCTTCCATAAGAAATGAATGGGAAAAATGGATCCGTTCTTTTTGTCTTTATTTAGATGCAGAGGAAATAAGAAATCAAAGCAATAGAAGAAATAAACTGTTACACCTCGAAGGCCCCTGGAGAAGTGGTTGATTTAAATACCGAAGGTGGGGTTGACATTTTTTAAGTTTTATTTGAGGCATTAACCAATTACTTTTCACCTGCTCAAAACTATACTATTGAACGTCATAGGTTTAGAAAATTAAAACCGCAAGGAGGAGAGTCTCTACACAAATACCTACTAAGACTTAGGTAACTGGCAACGAAGTGCTCTTTTGGCAAGTCAGAGAAAGAAGCGTCGGAGATAAACATCAAGGACAAACTGATTGATGACTGGGCTCCCGCTGACCTAAAAAACTTCTGGAAAAAGAGAGGTCTCTTTTGGAAGTACTAGACCTATGCCAGATCCAGGAGCAGATCAAGGACCAGACAAAAATAATGGACACGGGAACTGTCGCTACTCCTTCCACATCTACATCGATAAACAGAATAATCAAGAAAACATGCTTAAGGTATGGGAGTGGGCATACCATCAAATTGAACTATTCAAGGAAAGTCAGGTAATTACGACATTTATTACATCTAAGGTCCAACCCAACCCAACTTATATAGAACCCATATTGAATCCAATAAGGAAACTTATATGGTTCTACATGGCACGTCCTGGTTTACATTACGGAATCTATATGGTTTTTCTTAACATGTTTACGTTCATTTAATTTTTATTCTTTAAATTAATCACGGCTACTCGTCTAAAAATAAGTCTGGCAACCCTGTTATCATCGAACGGCCATTAGCATAGAAGACAGTAAACAGCCGCGGTCTATTTATTCTTTGTGTTGTGTTTATTAAATAAAAATAATACATTTTATTATTATTAGTGAGTTTTGACTATAGTCATATATACATATATATTATAAAGGGTATCCAGAAAGGATAGGGGGTATTTGTAAATTCAATCAAAATAAAACTACAAGTCAGAAAGAAATATTTTTTTTTATTTTTTAGACAAAGTTTTGAAAAATTAGGTCCCAAAGATTTTGTTGTCCAAATGTTGACCCTCGCGCTGCTGGCATTCCTCTAACCGAAAACGGAAATTAACTACCACGCGTCTACTCATATCTCTAAAAACAACGGCCATTTCGTTGCGGTTGTTGTGCTTCAATTGCAGGAGAGCTCGTGGTCTATTTTCATAAACTTTCTCTTTAAGGTATCCCCATAAAAATAATCAAGTGATGAAGGAATCATTGGGCCTTACATTTTTGAAAACCGACGAGGGCTAGCACTTACGGTAAACAGGTTAACCATTCACTGCAGTGAACGGTATTGCGACATGTTAAAGAAACTTTTTGATTCCACAACTGCAGAAGTTTTAAGGTTTTAACGTGGAAAAACATTTTTTTAACAAGATGGGGCCCCTTGCTTTAAATCAGTCACTTAAGGTTTTCAATCAAATTATCCCGAAAAAAGTGATCTCTCGACGTGGCACCATTAATTGGCTTCCGAGAAGCGCCGATCTTACACCATTTGATTATTTTTTATGAGGAAACCTTAAAGATAAAGTTTATAAAAACAGACTACGAATTTTCCTGCACAAGATCCGCACTGAAATGGCCGCTGTTTACAGAGATATGTGTAGAGGCGCAATAGTGAATTTCCGTTTCCGTTAGAGGAATGCCAGCAGCGCGAGGATCAACATTTGGACAACAAAATCTTTGACATTTAATTTTCCAAAACTGTATCTAAAAATTAAAAAAAAATATTTTTTTCTGACTTGTAGTTTTATTTTTATTGAACTTACAAATACCCCCTACCCTTTCTGGACATCCTGTAGTATTATGAACCAATACGCCTACGTTAGATTCATTGAAAACGGCATTAAAGCTAGTGTACCAATAGAACATATTAAAATAAATGAAAAGTTCCATGAAGGAGAGTGGGATCAGTCCAAAAAATTTGAAGTAAGTTTTTTGATGACTAGAGCATGACTCTGCAGTTGGCTCTAAATACTGCTTATATCGTTTAGGCTTATTGTCCATTATGGGTAGGTACTGCACTAATTAAGAACAATGTATTTAAGCCTTTAGAGGAAGCTAGGCTGCGCAAAAGAACAATTAATGTATTTTACAGTTAGTTTTATTATGCCCATGAGCAGATGGTATTGGGCCAGGTAAAACTTCTGGTTCTATAGTGATTCTATCTTGCATATGGAAATCTATCTGGTTCTATAGGGAAATCTATCAGGTTCTATAGGGAAATCTATCTGATTTTATAGGGAAATCTATCTGGTTCTATAGTGATTAATAGTGTTTCTATCTGGTTCTATACTGTAATCTTCTATCTGATTCTATAGTGAAATGCCTGTTTCAAATACCTATATTGAACGAGATAGAAGTTATATAGAATCCAGATACGTTTTTTTATATGATTCTATATGGCATTACGGTGTTTATAAATAACTTTACTTTTAATTATAAGAAATAAATATTTTGAAAATTCTTTATTTATAATAAAAAAAATCAATTTTAACAACCAAATTACCAAGCTGGGGCTGCATAACTCAAAGCTGGAGCGGCATAAGTCAAAGCTGGAGCGGCATAATTCAAAGCTGGAGCGGCATAATTTAAAGCTGGAGCGGCGATTCTTTCGTGAACCACTGGAGTGATTTTTTCGCGAACAACATGGTTTATTCTTTCTTGGACGATTGGGGCCTGAGGATGGACGAGAGTCCTGTGAATACCTGGAGCGCTTTTTGTAGAGATGGCGTATTCAGAAACGGTGGGCTCTTCGGAGAAGGTCTTTACGACAGGGACGGCGTGCGCTACTGGTGCTTTGGTGACGATGGGAGCGGCGTATGTGTGAGCAATTGGGGCGTTATAGGCTTTGGTGATAAGAGGAGCGGCGTAGGTTTTAGCGATTGGGGCGGCGTAGCTGGTGTAGTGTTTGGCGTAAGACAATGGGGCGGCGTAGCCCAAGTATCCGGAGTATCCGTCGAGGGTGTTCTCGAAAGCTGGAGCGGTCTTTACGAAGGTCGAGTATTCAGAGGCAGTGGGCTCTTTTGCTACGGTCTTGACGACAGCGTTGTGGACTACTGGGGCGGCGTAGGCTTTGGTGAAAATTGGGGCGGTATAGGTGTGAGCGATTGGGGCGGTATAGGATTTAGTTATGAAAGATGCGGGGTAGGTTTTAGCGATTGGGTGGTCTGCGTAGCTGGTGTATTGGTTGGCGTAAGACAATGGGGCGGCGTAGCGCAAGTGTCCACCGGAGTATCCTAAGTTGGTGAAGTATGTGCCTAAATGTCCGGCGGCGTATCCGTACTGCCCAGAATAGGATAATCCTGAGGCTTGGGCGGCAGCGACGAGGGTCGCGAGAAGAATGACCTAAACATGTTTTATTTAAATAAATAATAATTTAAATTATTAAATATTTTACTTACTTTTGATGCCATGTTGTAATTATTAAGCTGTTAGATGTTTATGATGTATATTTTCTTACTACTAGAGGTTTTTATACTTAAAATATATGATATTAATTCGTTTTTAACGACACAATTTTGTATAATAATTGTGTTATTGGATATTAATAGAATAACTTTTTGTTTTACCAATTAATAATAATCGTGAAACATACTGCAATAACGATAATATTCATATTTTCGTGAACATACCATGTCCTTCGGAGGGGACTGTAAGCCCGCGGTCCGTTCCTACCCCTAACCCGCACAAGCCAATCTTGGCTTATGGGACTTCTTAAGAGGTAAGGGTGGAACTAAAAGAGCACTTTTTTTTGTATAATGTATTTACCTAATAAACTTTTGGACAACTGGTATAAATATTGTTAAAGCTAGTTTAAAAAAAACATTTTTAATAGTTGGGTTTCAATATTAGCTTAATTATGTATGTAATATAAAATTGTACTGTATAAGAAATAACAAATATAAGGTTCCTAAGAATATTATGTATCATAACTAGAGATGGGATATTTAGGTACTAAAAACTGAAAAATAGGTAACTAAAAAGGTACTAAAAAAAAGCATTTTAGGTTAAAAAAACAGCATTTTAGGTAAAAAAAAACATTAAAAGTTCAAGTTTCGTTTATAATTTTGTTTAGCCGCATACCCAAACAGAGAACATACCCACAATAAACTATTTATATGCAATAAACTGTGTTTCACTGAGTGACACTCACTACACAGAAGTTCTATGACAGAACATAAGCTCACTACAAAGAAGGTAACTGTAAAGAAAGTTACTGTTACAGTCTGTGACCATAAGAAAAAATTCTATACCGTTGAGTTGCACGCCCTGGATAAAATATTGGCGCAAAATTTAAAAAGAGCACAAAAAAATAAAATAAGTAAAAATACGTAAAAATAGGTAACACATGGGTGAAAATAAACTGACAAATTAAAAAATATGTAACAAAAGTATAAAAAGGTACTTTAAAGCAAAAACCTCCAAAAAAGGTAAAAAAGGTGAAAACAAGTTAAAAAATAGGTAATAAAAGTATAAAAAAGGTAGTTTAAAGCAAAAACCTCCAAAAAAGGTAAAAAAGGTGAAAACAAGTTAGGTTCATATAAAAGAAAATCTTTTAAAACACATTTTGGCATTATTGGTTTTCAAATAGTTACATCGGCTGAAAAAAGGTAAAATAACTAAAATCCCATCCCTAATCATAACTAATGATTATGAGTATATTATTTTTACATTTAAGAAATGACTATACAAATTTATAAATTAATTAATCATTAAACAGGGCGTTTCTTACTTAAGCTAAATATAATAACATATATTATTAAAAAAGTAAAAAAGTTCGTAAGTTTGTATCAACCTGAACCGGTATATTTTGGAGATCGGAAATCGATCACTAAGAAAATAATACAATAATATTATATTTATTAATTAAAAAAATACATAAAAAGTCAATAGTGTATAAATATATAAAAAAGTATAAGAAAGGGTTTAAGACAAATTTAACATAAAATTTAATAAAACAGTTTAAAAATATCACATATTTTAACTTAAAATGATTTTTAATCCTACATTACCTACATAGTAAAGAAACTTAAAATTTTTACTATGGTATGTTTAATATTTTAACCGTTTCTGAAATATTCGCATTTGAAACTTTATCATCAAATATTTGTTTACAAATCAAGAAGCCTTAGAATAACAAAATGTTTATTGAAAATAAATAACTATAGTGACATTATGTCAATATGTCTTGTTAAGTAAGTAAAAATGGCATACTCAGACCGAGAAAGACAAACTATTTAAACCTATTATTAGAATTTTACAAGGAATCGAAAAATAAATTCATATACAGTGCTTGCAAATCCACGGAGAAAAATATATCATAATTATAACTATAATTATAGTAAAATTTGCTATATAATATAGTACCAGTTGGGATAATACAGTGCTTGCAAATCGATTTGCAAGCACTGTATTATCCCAACTGGTACTATATTATATAGCAACCGCGTTGGGAAGGATGGTTGTTCAATACCCGCGTGAAAAGAATAAGGATAGAATGCCAAACAGAATTTGATTGGTCAGAGCGTCAGGCGTGCGTACTGTAAGCGCCTTCTGTTTGGCGTTCTATCCTTGTTATTTTCATGCGTCCTTCCCAAACCGGTCGGACTTGGATTTGCAAGCACTGTATAGGGTGATCCATTGAGAAAAAATAATCTTTTTGTTTTTCCCTGTATACTGATCAATTTTCCAATTTTACCTTTTAAACTTCCGGTTTAGCCGGAAATGATACCAACTTTCAATTTTTAAATGGAATACCCTATATATTTTTACATATTTGGAATCCTGAGGACGTTTCGTCATCAGAAAATGTATCATCATAAACATCAATCTAAAGTGCTTTGAACTATCTTATTTTCTTCTAATGGATTCACACAATGCCTGAAAAATGGAACTTGCCTTAGAAAGTTGTTATTCAGCTATTCCCAGCAGTCTAAACTTGTTAAAATTCGTTTTTCTCAAATAGTTCAAAGCACTCTAGATTGATATTTATGATGATGCATTTTCTGAAGGCGAAACGTCGAAAGGTCAATTTGAGGATGCTGTCCGACTCAGAATTTTCTCAGGATTCTAAATATGTAAAAATATATAGGGCGTTCCATTTAAAAATCGAAAGTTGATATAATTTCCGGCGAAACCGGAAGTTTATACAATTTATTTTGTACTCTTATAAGTGGCATTTTATATCCTAATTAACCATGCAAAATCTCATGTGTCTATCTTGTCACACTAATTTTGTCAGTATCGGAAGTAATTCGCGCTAAAATCGTTATCTAGACCATAGTGCGTCTGTGGGAGCTTTAAGGGATAGGTATTTATAAATAACTTTTAATTATAACAAATAAATATTTTTGAACATTCTTTATAAATTTATTTGTAATATATAAAATCAATTTCAACAGCCAAATTACCAAACTGGGGCGGCATAACTCAAAGCAGGAGCGGCATAACTTAAAGCTGGAGCGGCATAATTTAAAGCTGGAGCGGCACTGTGCACTACGGGAGCGTCGATTTTTTAGTGAACCACTGGAGTAATTTTTTCGCGGACAACATGGTTTACTCTTTCTTGGACGATTGGGGCCTGAGGGTGGACGAGAGTCCTGTGAACACCTGGAGCGGTTTTTATAGAGATGGCGTATTCGGAAACGGAGGGCTCTTCGGAGAAGGTCTTTACAACAGGGGCTGCGTGCACTGCTGGTGCTTTGGCGACGATGGGAGTGGCGTATGTGTGAGCTATTGAGGCGCCATAAGCTTTGGTGATAAGAGGTGCGGTGTAGGTTTTAGCGATTGGGGCGGCGTAGCTGGTGTAGTGTTTGGCGTAAGACAATGGGGCGGCGTATCCCAAGTGTCCGGAGTATCCCAAGTGCCCAGGGAAGGTCTTCTCGAAAGCTGGCGCGGCGTAGGCTTTGTTGATGATTGGGACAGCGTAGGTGTGAGCGATAGGGGTGGTGTAGGCTTTACTTATAAATGGACCAGTGTAGGTTTTAGTGATTGGGTCTGCGTAGCTGGTGGCGTAAGACAATGGGGCGGCGCACACTGGTCCGAATCGACTTATTCTCTGGCCAAAACTCGAAAAGTGAATGTAATAATGTTAACATTTGTATTTTGGGGTTATTGGGGTCGCTGATTACGAAATTGATATCAAAATTATTAAATTCAAAATGGCGGACTAAAAATGGCGGACTTTTTTGACAAAGAATTGGTTAATCGTCATGAAAATATTAATTTTTAGGTTTCTGGGGTCGCTTATCACAAATTTGATATCAAAATTATTAAATTCAAAATGGCGCACCAAAAATGGCGGACTTTTTAAAAAAATATTTAGTTAATTCTCCTAAAAAATTTTATTTTTTAGGTTTTTGGGGTCGCTCATCACGAATTTAATATTAAAATTATTATTCAAAATGGCGGACCAAAAATGGCGGACTTTTTTTAAAAATAATTAGTTAATTGTCCTGAAAATCTTAATTTTTAGGTTTTTGGGGTCGCTTATAACGAATTTATTATCAAAATTATTAAATTTAAAATGGCGGGCCAAAATGGCGGATTTTTTTAAAATAATTAATTAATCGTCCTGAAAATGTTAATTTTTAGGTTTTTGGGATCGTTAATCATGAATTTAAAATCAAAATTAGTAAATTTAAAATGGTGGACCAAAAATGACGGATTTAAAAAAAATTGTTAATCGTCCTGAAATTTTTAATTTTTGCAGTCGCTAATCCTGAATTTGATATCAAAATTATTTAATACAAACCAATGTACCAAAAATGGCGGATTTTTTTTTATTATTAATTTATTGTGAGTATTAGGTTCGGCCTAATTCGGTTGTAAGGTTACTAATTTGGTATTATTGTAATAATTGTCAAATAGGAAATGAAAAAATAAAATACACTTGCGTACAAAATTTCAATGTTTAATAAATTAAAATTATACTATTACATTAAAAGTCATAGTCATCAATGTCTATTTCTTCAGCTGCACTTTCTTTAATAGGTTCAAGGAGCTCAATGACAGCAGGATGCAATGATTCATTACCTTTCACCTTTAATTTTGGTAAGCTTATAATAAGCGGGTCCGAGGTTACAAGGAGCCGACAAAAAACGTCCGACATTGACTTTTCTCTAGAAGATTTTCTTGAAAAATTTTCGCGGTACTGACGAATATCTTTGCATAAATAATTTTTTCTGTATATTTGTTATCCTATTATAAAATCTCAAAAAATATATTTACTAAGCATCACTGCGTTTAACCGCGACTACTGTCTCAAATCCGGGCACGAACGTGTATATAATTGTTTTATTAATTTTCGCGCAAGTGGCTGCAGCCAATTTTTTAAGAACCTTATAATAGACACTTCAATGAACGTTTCCCCGTAAAAAACGTCTTCCGCAAATGCCCACATTTTAACTTATTCCAAGTAAAAAAAACGAAAAAATCGAAAAAAAAATTAAAATCAGGCCATTTAAAAACAAATAATTTTTTTTTCAAAAATGTAATTTTATAAAATTATTGTACATATATGTATACCTTCAGAAACATTTTCCATTTTGAACTGTTAAAATCGAACAAGTCGTTAACGAAATAATAGCACTTTTGTTGCACAATCAAAATCAACACAATAACTGTTTCCAAGCAATTGCAAAAAGGGTTAAATAAAACTGCCCTAGGGATCATGTAGGGCGATTTTATACCTAAACGCTTTGGTTTTTAAATACTTCAAACATTTCTCTACCTGTATGAATTAAAATAATGTCATAATTAATAACTTTATTTTTGGGGTTTTGGCCAAGGTCAAGCACGATTCGGACCAGTGTGCGGCGTAGCGCGAGTGTCCGCAATTGCTGAAGTATGTGCCTTAATGTCAGGCAAAGGAGAGAGCGCCTCCGGCGGCGTACCCGTACTGTCCAGAGTAGACTAAGCCTGAGGCTTGAGCGGCAGCGACGAGGGCGGCAAGAAGAATAATCTAAAAATGTATTCTTTAAATCAATAATAGTTTAAATTATAATATATTTTTTCTACTCCCATTACGGAATTTGACCCTTCTAATATCACTTTTATCTATGAAATGACATATATTCCGTAAAGTGTTACAGAATGAAATATTCTATCATCTGATGACAGAATAACCACTCGTGGCGACATCTCTGTTTTTAATATCTAACAAATTTTAGACCGATCCAACCTCACTTTCTTCCAATTAAATTATTTTTCTATGGTATTTTTTGGAAACGTAGAAAAAGTATAGTCTGAAACACGTTTGGAATTGCATATTCCGCTCTCGTGAAACCGTCAAACTCGCCTTCGGCTCGTGTGACAAACTCTTTACTCGAGCGGAATATGCTGTATTCCAAACTTGTTACAGAATATACTATTACTTACTTTTGATACCATGTTATTATTAAACTGTTAAATGTTTATGATGTATATTTTCTTAATACTAAAGGTTTTTGTACTTAAAAAAATATTATACTTGATTAGTTTGTAACTATACAATTTTTTATGATAATTATCTTATTGAAAAATTAATAGGATAACTTTTTGTTTTACTTATTGATAATAATATTGAAATATACTGCAATAATGATAAATATATCTCCATTACATTTATAAAATATCTTTGTGAACTAGGTACCTACCATTTAATGTATTTTCCTATTATTAGTATATACTTTAGGAAACGCTGTGGCTCTCGTCCCGAGGCGGGACTTAAGTTTAGTCCCGAGTGACATCATAAGATTAAGATTTGTTATGTTACGATAAAACTAAAACTAAAACAAACCAACCAACCCAACCCAACACATTTTAACAAAGGAACAACAAATTTATAAAATAAAAAAATAAAAAAAGTTTGACAACTTCTAGTAGTATCGAACCCGGTACCTCTCGCATGTCAAGCGACCGCCCTACCATCCTTCTTAACATTAATTTTATATCGCTCGGGGAATAAAAACTTATTTACAGTGTGTGACGTCAGTCGGGATCGAACTTAAGTCCCGCCTCGGGACGGGAGCCACTTCGTTTAGGAAAACTGGTATAAATATTTATAAACAGACATGAAGCTTTATAATTGTCCCGAGGCGGGACTTAAGTTCGATCCCGACTGACGTCATAATTTGACGTCACACACTGAAAATCGGTATTATTCGCTGAGCGTTATAAATACAATACAATACTTGTCGCCTCAACAACTGTTTTATTTTGATTTTATGAATTTACATAACGAAATAATACATAGGGATGGCATTAAAAAGCATTAATATTTAATTTTACATTAGAGTCGGAATTCGTGAAACGGATCACCAAACATTGGTGGTTATTGTTTTTCAAAATTAATTCGTTTCTTCTGTTTAGTTTAGATATAAAATATGATGAAATAAGGCTGCATAAACCTTTTTTTCTTCCAGTTTTTTTCGTTTGAGTATTATTTAAAATTTATTGGATGGAATTAAATAAAATTTTGTGAACAATGTTTTAATATGTCTTACTTTCCAATCGATTTTTTTTGATTTGCCAACCTTTAATATTTGTTAATTTATAAATGTTTATTTATAAAAAAAAATATTGTTCTAGAGCTAGTGTGGCGATTTATTGAATTTTATTCACATCTACATAGTCAGTCAATCTACTTTCTTCTTCTGTAACCGTAATAAAGGAAATACATTTTTGTTCACGGTTTGTACACATTTTTGCATTCATTCTTACTAATAATAATAATCGTTCGTCGTACTTTAGCTAAAGGGGCTCGTTTTCATTTTTTAATTTGATCTTGGTTGTCACAAAAGCATTTATGTCGCGAGTTTATTTCTTTTTTTTAAACTGTGCAGTAAATAGTTATTTACCTAACTAGTGCGGAAAGTGCTACTTTTCCGCACGCGACTGAAGTTGAACGACTGACGCGTAGAGGAGGTATAATATTTTTTCTACAAGCGTGAGGAAAATTAACTAGTTTTTGGTATTTTTTCAATAATGTATGACAGTATAAACGTTAAATTAAAAGTACAATTAAAAATTCAAATATATATTTTATTTATTAACAATATTTATGTTAAAAAAATAGTTATATCCAACTAACTCTCTTAAAATGAATTAGTAAAAAATGACTAATTGTCATAGCGAAGAAGCGGCCACATATTCTTCAATAGCAATTTGTATTCCGAACATTTAGCAGTCAATTTCCATGTAAAATTGTCCCCTGAATATCGTCAAATGTAGAACAGTTTTTGGGATATAGTCAATATAGTATATCTCAAAAACATCCCTACTTTCATAATTTTTGACGGTATTTTCGGATTCAGGGGACAATTTTACATAATAATTTGATGTACAGGTTGGGGATACCATGGTATCCCATGTTTAATCATGGTGAAAAAGTGAAAAAGCAGCCACTAATAACTGTGATAATTGGTCATTTTTGAATATTTCATTTTTAGAGTATGTTTTAATTTTAACATAGATTTTAACATTGAGTATCTGGACCATTACGTTGATGGTTTGCAAGTCTTTAAGAGGTCGAAAAAATATACAAGAATTACCTTTTTGCACCATTTACAAAATGTTTGAAACTCTTAAGCATGCCGAAATTTTGATTTTTCTGGTAACAGTTCGATGTTTACATTTTTGGCTTCTTTAAGAATTATTCACTAATTGAAGTGGATAATAGATATTTGTTTTACAAGTGTTGAAAAGCGACTTTTTCATGCGAGTGTTCAAGTTGCTCGGCCTGACGTCATCGTGTGCATTAACACGAGCTTGAAAAAAGCTTTTCTCACAAGTGAAACACAATGTTTTTTCTACGACCTTTTTATTTTTTATTATATTCAAACACAAAACAAAATAACCTAAAAACGTGTTTGACAGATGTTAAAATTCTTTCATCTTATTCTTTTAATTTTTAAGGTAAAAGTTACTTAAAATCAAGGCACTAAAAACTAGAATTTATTATACAAACACAATTAATTGTGTTCTAAATGATATTTAGACATACATATACAAATACAATACAAATTTTGAAACGAATGTCAAACGATGCTGTCAATTTCTTTTCACACAGACCTGTCACTTTTCACACAGAAATCTCACTTTTCATTCGTGTTTTGCCTTTCCAATGAAAAGATTCATTTTCTAAGCAACTATGCTAATACGAAATGTAACTTTTACATAGTGGTCGTAGAAAAAGTATAGTAATACATTCGAGATTATTAGTTATCTATGAAAGTTAAAAAATAAAATTAAAGCAAGAATAAAGCATTTTATTTTTTTATATTTAATTTTTATTTTCATTTAATATAACACTGTTCTATCAATTTAATTTGATAAAAAGAGACAAGTTGTACCTTATATTTCATAGGGTTGTAATAACCCAATTGAATTTAAGGTAAATTTTTATAAACATAATTTATAATTGAATCGGTGAGAATAAGAACAGTCGAAAATTTGACATTCTCATCTGAAATAGCCATTTTGTTTTAAATTCGAAGCAGCATCGAAGAAGTAAAAGAACTTTTTAAAATCGGATTGTTAAGGTGTTTGTCAGATCTAACTGTGAAGCATTAATAATAAGAACAGTACAAGTCCTGGACTTGTACTGTTCTTGTTCCCAATAAATGTTGTTGTTGATTATGGACATTATGTACTACTAAACTACTACTAAAAGTTTAAGGTGGTCATGCTCATGAAAGTTGTAAGTTGGTATTTTATGCTGCTTAAGTGTAAAATACAACAATGTTATCATCTGATAGTAGCGAAAATTACACAACACGTAGGAAAAATCCAGAACGATGAAAAATTAATAATAGAAAGTTTGCACGTCAGCGTGGTGAGTTTTATATGTCTACATCATGAAAAATTTTATTTTATTTATAAAAAATATAATGAAGTACATTAAGGGAGAAGATCTAGAGTTTTACCACCATGTGACATCCTGGCCAAACACTCATGATGATGCCGGTACACTGAAAAAAATAAGCTGTTGAAACAACAAAAAAAAATATTAATTCAACTTTTTATGCACTTTAAATACAAGCAGTGGTTTTTGCACGTTTACTTAACCATATAAAAATGTCAAATTGTATTGTTTAATTGAACAACAAATATTAGTCAAAAGAACAAAATGAGAATATTTGTTCTAATCTGCTAATCTGGTTAATTAAACATTCTTGATAAGTCGGAGTAATATTTCGAAAATGGTTGTGCTAACATTTTTAAGATGTAAAGATAAATTTCTTGAAATGTTCAGTTAAACCTTTTTAGCATAATTACTTAACACAAATAAAATGTTAAATTAAAATAATTTGCGCTAATGTTGGGTTAATTAAATTATGGAATTAATATAAAGAGAAAGAATTTAACCTTCCATCGCCAGAGTTTTTGTTTTGAGTGCGTTCCACCTACTCCAAATACCTACCGACAGACAGCTGATTCGACCTATATTGGGGGTCTTATGTCGGACAATTTGGTGTAGTGGAAGTTTCACTGTGGAATTAACAAATTTTGAAGTAACATTTACAATTTGTTAAATGAACAAATTTAATGTTTTGGATTTATAGAGCAACTAAACGTTAATTTAATAGTTTTTTTAGGTAATCCTAAAAATGTCAGTATTTGATTCAACCAATTCCAGCTATTAAACCAAAATAGGATAAACATTTTAATTCAAAAAATTAGTTTATGTTAAATTAATATTTTAACTGTCAAATGGACAAATAAACTTTGAGAAACTCTGACTATTGCTTTGACACCAAAATATAGATTAATCCAATAGGTTTTTTAATGAAACAACATTTTCAAAAATGACATTTAGGCAAACGTTAACTCAACTACATTATTTTTTTCGGTATATACGAAATTGATTAATTAATATTTTTGTTCAATAAGTTGCTTTTTGATCAATAAAATTGCTTTTTGTAAAAAAAAAATGTTTAATGCTTTTTATCTATAAAAATGCTTTACCACATCATGATGTTTTATTTTTTTCAATTCTAAAACAAAATTCTAAAGATTATTATAAGAATTCTGTCACAATTTTATTGAGATTAATAACATATTTGATTGTTTCGACCTTTACTTGATGAAACTCCATATTATTATTATTATGTAGATATAAAAACAAATATGTTTTGAAAGTTTCACGTGTTTTATTTACTTTTGACAATTGTTTCGTCACACAGTGACTTCTTCAGAATGTATTTATAACTTATTATTAAGTGAGTTTATATAACAAAATGTTTTAAGGTACACAAATTTTTTGGTCTACCTGAATAATATTTGCTTAATACATTGAAAGAGAGTAATAATGGAAAAACCTAATTTATTGTAGTACAGTATTTTCCTGAATAATTAAAATAAATTTAATAGAGGTGAATTATTGGTTTCGATTTGATCATTTAATACAATATCAGTTTGTTTCTTTAATTTATTGATTTCCAGTGATTCTAGTAAATTTAATTTTAAGCCTTTACTTTCTACATGTAAAATTTTAAAATTATGATTAAAAGTATGGTTTTCTTGAATTAAGTGGTTGGCGTAAGCTGAATCTATTTTATTATTATTAAACGATCTCCTGTGTTCGTTGATTCTAGTTTTAAAATTCCGACCTGTTTGTCCTATATAGGTTTTGGGGCAATCAGAACATGTTAATTGGTAAACTCCTGACTTCTTATGTTTGTTAGATTTATCTTTATTATTTTTAATTAAAATACCTAAGTTATTGTTAGTTTTAAAAGCGAGTTCGCTGTTGATTTTTTTAAACAAGGTAAAAACGTGTCTCATGTTATAACCTAGGTATGTAAAACTATTGTACGTATTAGTATGGGTTTTTTGTATTGGAAATATTTGGTTAATGGCAATTTTTTGTTTTTTGTTTTTTAAAATTTCATTGATTATTTGTGCTGGATATCCATTATTGACGGCTATTTGCTTAATTAGATTTAATTCTTGATCAAAATCTGTTTTTGACAGTGGTACATTTAAAAGTCTATGAATCATTGAATTAAAGGCTGCTCTTTTTTGGGGCCAAGGGTGTGAGGATGAATTGTGAATAACTATGTCTGTGTAACTAGGTTTATGAAATATTTTGAATGTATGATAGCCATAACTTTTTTGTATAGTAAGATCAAGGAAATTAATTTGATTGTTTTGTTCTTCTTCCATTGTGAATTTGATGTTTGGGTGAATGTCATTTATAAAATTTAGAAAACTATTTAGTTGTCGTTTTGTACCCGTGAAGCAGGTTAGGATATCGTCAACGTATCTGTACCAATATAAAAAAATTTTGTAATGTGGGTTTTTGTGGATAATTAGTTCTAACTGATTGACAAAGATATCTGCAAGTAGTGGACTAAGTGGGTTACCCATGATTAAACCATTGTGGCTAGTATATATTTTATTATCAAATTGAAAATAATTTTGTTTAATGCAAATTTCTAAGATATTTAAAATGTCATTTTTGATAACCGGATTAATTTTATTTCGATCTAGTAATTTTTTAATTATATTGTATGTTTCACGTGGTGGTACACTAGGGAATAAATTTGTGATGTCAAAGGAAATTAATTTAGCATTGTTAGGTAGTTGAATATCTTTGATGTTGTTAATTAACTCATATGAATTTTTGATACTAAACTTTGGTTTAAAATTGCAATATGTAGTTATTAAATTTAAAGCCCAGTATAGAAAACGAGATGTCTACAGTGTATACATTAAGGTGATCCATTCAGAATTAGCTTATAGACTTAGTATAATTGAATTTGATATCATTGATTACAATATCAGACACCAAATCAAAAACATAATTCACAAGAAATTTTTAAGACAAAGAAATAAAATTAATTCATTACTTAAATCCAAACCTTTACCTACAATAGAAAATAACAATTATTCAAATCATATTTTTCACGAAAAATTCATTAACCTTAATTTTGACAAAACAGAAATTTCATTAATAGAAAAAGGTTTTAAACATAACTTACAACCTCAAATTTCACAAAAACAGTTAGAAAACTTAGGAGTAGAAATGGAAATAGCCTTAAACAAAATAGAAAAGAACAAAAATCTTAAATCTATAGCTTCAGAATTGATCATTAATAAGTTTAAAATCCATAACAATAAGACAAGTGATACCTTTATTGCCAAATCTATCAGATCCAAAAGTACAGATATAATTTTCACTAGAGCAGACAAAGGAAATACAGTTATAGCAATTAATAAACAAGGATATTTGGAAAAAACTCACAACTTTCTCACGTTAGATAAATATACTGTACTAAATAAAGACCCGACGAATAAATTTAATGTTGAAATTAGACAAACAATAAAAAATGCAAAAAGTATATTTACGGACTCAGACATATACAAATTAACAATAATGAACCCTAGCCCACCATTAATGTACTCTTTAATTAAACTACATAAAAATAATCTACCCATTAGACCAGTAGTATCATTCTTTACAGCTCCGTCAACTAAAATCTCGAAAAAACTTATCAATTTAATAACTACATATTGCAATTTTAAACCAAAGTTTAGTATCAAAAATTCATATGAGTTAATTAACAACATCAAAGATATTCAACTACCTAACAATGCTAAATTAATTTCCTTTGACATCACAAATTTATTCCCACGTAAAACATACAATATAATTAAAAAATTACTAGATCGAAATAAAATTAATCCGGTTATCAAAAATGACATTTTAAATATCTTAGAAATTTGCATTAAACAAAATTATTTTCAATTTGATAATAAAATATATACTAGCCACAATGGTTTAATCATGGGTAATATAGTCCACTACTTGCAGATATCTTTGTCAATCAGTTAGAACTAATTATCCACAAAAACCCACATTACAAAAATTTTTTATATTGGTACAGATACGTTGACGATATCCTAACCTGCTTCACGGGTACAAAACGACAACTAAATAGTTTTCTAAATTTTATAAATGACATTCACCCAAACATCAAATTCACAATGGAAGAAGAACAAAACAATCAAATTAATTTCCTTGATCTTACTATACAAAAAAGTTATGGCTATCATACATTCAAAATATTTCATAAACCTAGTTACACAGACATAGTTATTCACAATTCATCCTCACACCCTTGGCCCCAAAAAAGAGCAGCCTTTAATTCAATGATTCATAGACTTTTAAATGTACCACTGTCAAAAACAGATTTTGATCAAGAATTAAATCTAATTAAGCAAATAGCCGTCAATAATGGATATCCAGCACAAATAATCAATGAAATTTTAAAAAACAAAAAACAAAAAATTGCCATTAACCAAATATTTCCAATACAAAAAACCCATACTAATACGTACAATAGTTTTATATACCTAGGTTATAACATGAGACACGTTTTTACCTTGTTTAAAAAAATCAACAGCGAACTCGCTTTTAAAACTAACAATAATTTAGGTATTTTAATTAAAAATAATAAAGATAAATCTAACAAACATAAGAAGTCAGGAGTTTACCAATTAACATGTTCTGATTGCCCCAAAACCTATATAGGACAAACAGGTCGGAATTTTAAAACTAGAATCAACGAACACAGGAGATCGTTTAATAATATTAAAATAGATTCAGCTTACGCCAACCACTTAATTCAAGAAAACCATACTTTTAATCATAATTTTAAAATTTTACATGTAGAAAGTAAAGGCTTAAAATTAAATTTACTAGAATCACTGGAAATCAATAAATTAAAGAAACAAACTGATATTGTATTAAATGATCAAATCGAAACCAATAATTCACCTCTATTAAATTTATTTTAATTATTCAGGAAAATACTGTACTACAATAAATTAGGTTTTTCCATTATTACTCTCTTTCAATGTATTAAGCAAATATTATTCAGGTAGACCAAAAAATTTGTGTACCTTAAAACATTGTGTTATATAAACTCACTTAATAATAAGTTATAAATACATTCTGAAGAAGTCACTGTGTGACGAAACAATTGTCAAAAGTAAATAAAACACGTGAAACTTTCAAAACATATTTGTTTTTATATCTACATAATAATAATAAGATTAATAACAGTACAAGTCCAAGTTTATGTTTTGTGTATAATAAAGCATGCACGTGGTAAAAAAAAATATTTTTAGTTTAATGGACGTCTAAACTCATACACCACAGCTTGTCTGTACTTTTAAACCTGAAAAAAACCTAATAAATAAAATAAACAGTTTATTCTCTCCGATTCAATTATTAACAACATTTAATAGAATTTCCAAGCTGGAGCTAGATACTTCAAAACTGGGGCAGCATGGTATACCGCCGCCTATAGGCGGCAAAAGAAGCAGCTTATTTATTTTTAGCGATTGGTGAAGAATAGGACAAGACAGGATTAGTAAGTAAGGCGGCAAATTTAGCTTTAGAAACTGGAGCGGCATATGCCAAAGCTGGGGCAGCAAAAGAAGCGGCATATCTAGCTTCGGAAGCTGGAGCGGCGTATGACAAAGCTGGGATGGCAAGAGAAGCAGATAATTAGACTTCAGATAGTGGAGCGGCGTAAGACAAAAGGGCGGCTACATGAGTGGTAAAACAGGGAGGCAAATCTTTCTTCCGCAATAGGGGCAGCGTATACAGCAAAGGCAGCTTCTACAACTGGGATGAAAATCTTTCTTGTTTCGTGTAAAACATGGTTAATTTTTTCTTCGACGATTGGAGCTTGTTCGAGGAAAAAGGTTTTTTTCGAATTTAGGGGCAGTTTCTATAAAGGTCGAGTGTTCGGAGATAGTGGGCTCTTTAGCGACGGTTTTTAGTTTAAGGAGGGCAGCGGAGTAGGCTACAGGGGGGGTTTTGGTGAACAATTGGGGCATCGTAGGTATGAGCCAAAGGAGCTAAACATAAATTATATAAAATATTTTAAATGGTTTTTACGTGGAATGCCATGTTTACTGAAAGTTGATGGATGATTTTAATTATAAAGTTGAGTATATTATGCTTTTTATTTAAAAAGTTTAGAGGTTTAACATAATTTTGATAATTTCTATAAAATGCTAATTGATACTTATCAAAAATTTATAATTTGGGTAATTTATGAACAATAATTGTTTTTAAATTAGCACATTTAATTATTATACCGCCACATAAAAGTAAAATTATCGATTAGTAAAATAAAAAGTTATCCTATTAATTTCCAATGACACAATTATTATATAAAATTTTGTATCGTTAAAAACTAATAAAGTTTAATATTTTTTTTCTATAAAAACCTATAGTTCTAAAACATATACATCATAAACATCTAACAGTTTAACGATAATAATATGGCATCCAAAGTAAGTAAAATACATTATAATTTAAAATTTTATTCATTTAAATAATACATTTTAAGATTATCCTACTCGCCGCCTACGTCGCCGCTGCCCAATCCTCAGGCCTAGCCTACTCCGGACACTACGGAAACGCCGCCGGACCCGCTCTTTCCTACACCGGACATTTAGGCACATACTCAAACAATTTGGGATACGCCGGACACTTAGCATACTCCAACTTGGGATACGCCGGACACTTGGGCTACGCCGCCCCATTGTCTTACGCCAAGCACTACACCAGCAAAACCTACGCCACTCCTCTCATCACCAAAGCCTATACCGCCCCAATCGCTCACACCTACGTCGCCCCAATTGTCACCAAAGCCTACGCCGCCCCAGTTGTCCACAACGCTGTCGTCAAGACCATTTCTGAAGAGCCCACCGTCTCCGAATACTCGACCTTCGTAAAGACCGCTCCAGCTTTTGAGAAGACCCTTGTCCACCACCAGGCCCCAATCGTTCAGGAAAGAGTAAAACATGTTCTCCGTGAAAGGGTCACTCCAGTTGTTCATGAAAGAATCGCCGCTCCAGCTTTGACCTATGCCGCTCCATCATGGTAATTTTGCTGATAAATAATGTTATTTATTATGTATTTTAATAAACAAAAATTAAAATTAAAATTATGATTTTTATTGCAATGGTTTCATAAACATATTGGGCGAGTAGGAAGAAAAAGAAGAAGAAAAAGATTGCCCGAATGGACTTCTAGACTGGCCCAAAAAAATTATAAAAATACAACACCTAACGACTTATAAAAATTTCACCCCTTATAATTTCACAAAAAACTTCGTAATTTATATTGGTTTTTTAGTTAATTTTTTTACGAAATAATAAATTTGTTTTTTGTCACATAAAAATGTCTATAGTCTATTCATTTTAAAAATTTACTATATTAAACATTTTTATAAAAAATATATATTTATAGGTTATGTTTCAGTATCTTAAGTAAAAATTCTAATTTAAAACCCCCCTGAACACCCCGTGTGCACGGACCTTGTTTATAGTAGTTTGTGTTTCATAAGATCATAAAAGGGTCAAAAATTAATTTTAAAATAATTTTGGTAAATTTTTTAGTAAAATAAACATTAGTAAGAGTGGGTAGATTTTTGGGAGATTTTACGTATGAGTATCATCCAAAAAATGCGTTCTAAACAAAAATTTTGTAAAATTATAGTTTGTTATCCAATATTTGGATTTGCATAATGCTATGTTTGTCTGCATTAAAAAAAATAATAAAAACAAATAGGTGAGTTAGGGGGGCAATTGCACCCATTGGTCCCCCCTGTATCCGCGCCTGCTTAGATTTTAGATTTTTAGTGAGAAGAAAGAGAATCATGTTCACTTTACTTGTTCCATTCAGGTGGCGGCACCCGAGCCGTGCGCAGGATTTCTTCCTGGGGGGGGCTATCAAATTTAGGGACGTACAAAAATCTCGTAAAGCTAGAGGGCGAAGGTCTTTTTAAAACGTCAGGTAACAAAAAATAGAATAAAATTGCTTATTTACTCCATTTTTTGTCAGATCGAGTACAAAAAAGAATCGGAAAAAATAAGTTAGGGGTAGCGGGTTCGATAATACGATAATCTTCACATCGTCACAAGAAAGGGAAAGGGGTAAATTTTAACCATTTTTAGCTTCACGAGATTTATGAAAAAATATAGGTGTATTTATAAATAATTTTTCAGTATTTTAAGTGAAAATTATAGTTTAAAACCCTCCTGATGGGGTTTGAACACCCAAAACCTCCCTTGCGCACGGGCCTGGAGGTACCTGTGACAATGTGTTTTCCGTCACAAATATTACGTTTTTTCTCGCGCTTCTCGTGCAACAAAATTCAAAAATATTAACGAACTTGTGTCCGACCCACATATTTTTTTCTTCATATTTTGTTATAATTATGTATAACGTTAAAAAAGCATAATTACCGATTGAGAACATTACAAACAAACATTGTTATGATTTTTTTTTTCGATATATTTTAGACAAAAAAATAAAAATTTTTAGGTTGCAAAATCAATAACATAAATATTTAATTTTGAAAACCACTCCGCGTAAAAAATCAAGGTAGGTACAGTGGCCGACACGGAATTTTGAACGACATAACTTGGTTGTCAATGTATACATCTGTAAATAGCAAAGATACAATATTGAGCATTTTTGCGTTCGCTGTCAAAATTACAATACTATAGTGATAACCGAAAGTAAGGTTAGTTGTCCATAAAGAAAGTTTAGATTTTGATGTCAACGGGATGATAGTCGTTCAAAATTCCGTGTCGGCCACGGTACCACTTCCACTCTATAGGCAAATACTTAAGGATTTCTCGAAAGAAAAATAGGGTAATACTGAAACATCTGGATGGGTCGATAGTATTGAAAGTACTAGACACCAAAAAGATTTAGGATTGAAGATTTAGAAAATTATCTTTTTCACTTAAGGGTATTTCCATTGTAACGGGTGCGACACTGACACTGTTTTTTTTTCATGAATATATATATATATATATATATATTAGGGTGTCCCAAAAAAAAAGAATATTTTTGGTTTGTCATGTTTTAAGAGCCCTGTCAAAAGATCAGCACCATTAAAAAATTTTTAGAGGTCGCTCAAGATTTTTAAAAATTACCAAAATCGTCAAAAATTTGATTTTTTTTATTTTAATTTTTTTTCTCTTTTCGATATTATTTTTTAATTTAAAAATAATAATGATTCTGAAAATTTCAAATCGATATTTTAATTTCTAAAGGTCGCTCAAGATTTTTTTAACTTTCAAAGTAGAGTATTTTAAATGTTTTCGAGCGACCTCTGAATATAAATATCAACGAACTTTTAGCGACCTTTAGAAATCAAAATATTGATTTGAAATTTACAGAATTTTTATTATTTTCAACCTAAAAAATAATATCAAGACGAGAAAAAGAATTAAAATAAAAAAAAAATTCAATTTTTGACCATTTTGAAAATTTTTAAAAATCTTGAGCGACCCCTACAAAATTTTTAATCGAGCTGATATTTTGAAAGGGCTCTCACAGCATGATAAACTAACAGATTTTTACAAGAGACAAGAAAAAAAAATATATTCTTTTTTTTTGAGACACCCTAGTTTAGTTGCAGTTGATCAACAAGAGTTTGATAATGAAAATGTGCCTTTACATACACCAATTGTAATTTTACGTTTAATTATAATTCAAAATAAATATTAATCAAAATGACATGTTTACTTTTTTGTCCAGGGCACGAAAGTTTTTCATAGCTAGCAATTACCTAATACATGAATAATTACATAACTAAATTAAAAGCACACTATTTTTCTTAAATTTACAGACTTGTATATGTAGCTACTTTATTTTTACATTCTTTTTGTAAAAAAAGGTATAAATATATGTAAAAAAATTACATTTACATTCTTTTTGTATAAATATATGTAAAAAATATGTAATTTTACCATAATTTTTATCAGTGCAAGGCTTCGTCTAATATTAGAGCATTTTTTATTAACGTGGAAGTCGAGAATATTACTTTTTACAAAGCTAAAAACTTCTAACCAGCGACAAGCCTCCTGCACTTCTTATTAGAATTGGTCCTTAAAAAAAATAAGGTATAGGAATTTATAAATGACTTAATTTTTAATTATATATATAGCAAATAAATATTTTTAAAAATTCTTTATTTATAAAATTATATATAATAAATAAAATCGATTTCAATAGCCATATTACCAAGCTGGGGTGGCATAACTCAAAGCTGGAGCGGCATAAGGCAAAGCTGGAGTGGCACTGTGCACTACGGGAGCGGCGAATCTTTCGTGAACCACTGGAGTGATTTTTTCTCGGATAACATGGTTTACTCTTTCTTCGACGATTGGGGCCTGAGGGTGGACGAGAGTCCTGTGAATACCTGGAGCGGTTTTTGTAGAGATGGCGTATTCGGATACGGTTGGCTCTTCAGAGAAGGTCTTTACGACAGGGCCGGCTTGCACTACTGGTGCTTTGGCGACAATGGTGTGAGCGATTGGGGCGCCATAGGCTTTGGTGATAAGAGGAGCGGCATAGTTTTTAGCGCTTGGGGCGGCGTAGCTGGTGTAGTGCTTGGCGTAAGACAATGGGGCGGCGTAGCCCAAGTGTCCGGAGTATCCCAAGTCCCCGGAGAGGGTCTTCTCAAAAGCTGGTGCGGTCTTTACGAAGTATTCAGAAACGGTAGGCTCTTCAGCAAAGGTCTTGACGACAGAGTTGTGGACTACTGGGGCGGCATAGGCTTTGGTGATGATTGGGGCCGTGTAAGTGTGAGCGATTGGGGCGGTATAGGATTTAGTTATGTGCGGAGCGGCGTAGGTTTTAGCGATTGGGGCGGCGTAGCTGGTGTAGTGGTTGGCGTAAGACAATGGGGCGGAGTAGCTTAAGTGTCCTCCGGCGTATCCCAAATTGGTGAAGTATGTGCCTAAATGTCCGGCGTAGGAGAGATCGCGTCCGGCGGCGTATCCGTAGTGTCCGGAGTAGGCTAAGCCTGAGGCCTGAGAGGCGGCGACGAGGGCGGCGAGAAGGATAATCTAAAAATGTATTATTTAAATAAAAACTAGTTTAAATTATAATATATTTTACTTACTTTTGATTCCATGTTGTTATTGTTAAACTGTTAGATATTTATGATGTACCTATAGTTTCTTAGTGGTAAAGGTTTTTATACTTAAAAAAATATGAAGCTTGATTAGTTATTAACGATACAATTTTGTATAATAATTATACAATAACAATTAGTGTGTTATTAAAAAATTTCCATTATATAATAATAGGATAACTTTTTGTCTTATTAATTGATAATAATTATGAAATAATGATGATTATTTTTTGACGTTTCCAAAAACCAATAGAAAATTTTAAATTAAGTAGTGTGTGTATTAGGATGGCCCAAAAAAAAAGAATATTTTTTTTTCTCGTCTCTTGTAAAAATATGTTAGTTTATCATGATTTAAGAGCCCTGTCAAAATATCAGCTCGATTAAAAAAATTTTAGGGGTCGCTCAAGATTTTTTAAAATTTTCAAAATCGTCAAAAATTGAATTTTTGTTTTATTTTAATTTTTTTTCTCGTCTCGATATTATTTTTTTGATTGAAAATAATAAAAATTCTGTAAATATCGAATCAATATTTTGATTTCTAAAGGTCGCTAAAGGTTCGTTGATATTTATATTCAGAGGTCGCTCGAAAACCTTCAAAATACTCTACTTTAAAGGTTAAAAAAATCTTGAGCGACCTTTAGAAGTCAAAATATTGATTTGAAATTTTTAGAATCATTAGTATTTTTAAATTAAAAAATAATATCGGAACGAGAAAAAAAATTAAAATAAAAAAAATCCAATTTTTGACGATTTTGGAAATTTTAAAAAATCTTGAGCGACCCCTAAAATTTTTTTAATGAAGCTGAGGGCTCTTAAAACATGACAAACCAACATATTTTCATATTCTTTTTTTTTTGGCCACCCTAGTGTGTATGTTTTAATCAATCAAACCATTATTATAGTGGGAATAACCTACAGTATACTGTTGGTTATAACCATTATTTTCGAGAAATCAGAATGAAAACCTAACAAAGTTCTATAATAAACGTCAAAAAATAATCACCCATAATATAACAAGTGGTATGATTATCATCGATGATATTTTCGAATTGATCCAAGCGATAATCATACCACGAGTTATATTTAGTGAGAAAATATAATGAATTTTAGGATTTAACGAATTGCCGGTTTGACATTTAAAATTAAAATGTGCTTTAAAATATAAAAAGACTTAATTCATTATTTTAATCATTTAACAAACACAGTATTTAAATGTCAACAAATGTCAAATCAAATCAAGAAAAGTGTCAAAATTCTTAGCAACGTGTAAACAAGATAAAAAATATTGTCGCTGTGATAAAATGCGTAACTGTGGAATACTGGCATTCTATTGGTTCTAATTATAATGAATTGTATTGTGTTTCGAATACCACTCAAAATGAATTAAATCTATTAGAAAATAATGTTCCAGAAAATTTCTTAAACCTGTTGTCCTTATAATGACAACAAGTTTAAGAAATTTTAAGAAAACTTTTAGAGGGGCCTATAGGCAATAGCCCCTCTAAAGTTTTCGAAATATGTTTAGAATTATTTTCAATTTATTCTCATTCTTTTGTGAATGTTGAATATTTCTCCAATACATTACTTAGTATGTAATATAAAAATGTAGTGTATAAGGAATAAAAAATATATGATTCCATATAAAATTTGAAATTTAACTTAACTTAAGACGTCAAATCTTTCTTATGCAATTGGTGCGGCATACGTACAAAGTTGGAGCGGGGCTTCTACAACTAGGGCAAAAATAGTTTTTTCAAAAACCTTTTTGTACTACTGGACGTAACGTAACTTTTATTAATTTTTTAAAAATTAATTTATAATTAGCACCACTCGACAAAAAAGTATAGTGTTTCCCTCGCGTGGAATCGCAATTACTTCCTCAATGAATTCCTCACTCGCCTATCGGCTCGCTCGGAAACTTTCATCATCGGGAGTAATTGCTATGATTCCACGCTCAGTAAACAATATACTATTATTAAACCTAGAATTCATTTCCACTATCTATGATCTTGCCCCTGACACATTGGCGTCGTGAAGCCCTTTCCACAAGTATTGGAGACCAAATAGATTTAGAAAATTATGCTTACATAAAAAATATACATAATTTATAAAGATAATTTAAATAATTAATAAAATGTGATGATGCTGCTTTTCTTATACTTTTACTCATAGATTATAAGAGAACTGACAGTAGCTTCTTGCATAATTTAAAATCCATCATTCCATTAATTACATTTATTCTTAAAAGATACATTGTAATAAATATGACTTGCTAGTGGCCAATAATAAAGTTAGATAAATTAGACCACGCTCAACTTCCAAACGGCCATAATTTTTAATTTTTTTCCCACAAAAATAGTCTATTCAAACCGCGTCCAGGTAATTTTTGTATTGTTGCACTGTGTTACATATTGTTTTTAATTTCTAAAAGGAAAATAACCACATATGGATATTGCAATAATTTTTATTATAATATTAATATTATAATTTTTTTTGAATAAAAACTTTCTTGTTCAGGGTGTTTTCTTGTAATAGGACACCCATAAAAAATCCTTATTAGAAGAGATATCGAAAAAATCCAGCTGCATGGTTTAAAAAAGTAATTTTTTCGACAACAATTGAAAAACTTTTTTAAACCAGGCAAGCTATACTTTTAATTTTTTTAACCCTTTTGATAATGGCGTACTAAATTTATTACGTCGTTTTCTACAATTTATTGTATCTACTTGACTGAATTTTTATCCATTTTCTCACGTTCTCATGTCCTAATTTTAGCACACCTTGTAAAAAAAATTAGCATAGAAAACAAAAATTTGAGCCACCATAAAATAGCAAATAATTATATTTTTCTTTGTGTCAAGTTTTAGATTTTTATCTTTGCAAACCATAATTCGAAATGCGAAAGGGTTAATATCTCTTCAAATAAAGATTTTAGATGGGTTTCCCATTTATACGAAAACACCCAGATAAAGTTTAGCTAAAAATTGTAATGTTCTTTAAAATTTTACATATTATTAAAAATTGTACCCCAGAACCAAACTGTATTGTCCACATTTTAAAAATCACGTTACATATTTTTTCCTATATTTTTCCGCAATTTCCATTAGTAAACAGGATTAAGTCTAAGTAAGCTAGGACTTAATCCTGAAAAAACGTAGGCTAAAATTATGTCACGTAATTTATTAAAAATGGACTTAATACAGTTTGGCTCTAATATTACATTATAAAAAATGTATCAAGTTTGATAAATGGCATTTTAGTTTTATAAGTATCGATTGTAGGCCAAATTTCTAGTGTATCCCAAATTTTCAAAATATTCCAAGTTGGAAGCTATATTTTTTTAGTAACTTTGGCTGTATAAATATAATATTTAAACATAATTCTTTATTGGAATCAAATTTAGTTTTATTAATCAGTTTTCGGAATTTTTAAACATCTATTAAAATTTAATCACGATAACTCCAATCTAGCAGAGATATAACTAATATGTATTTAATTTGTAATTCTACAAAAAATACCACGGCTTTTTAGAATTAAGTATAAAAGGATAATGTTTGTAAATCCTCTTCACAGGTTTTATAAAGTCACATTTAGTAACGATGGCAACGCAAGTTAGTATTAAAATTAATTGTAATTTTTAGAAATTTCAATTAACCATTTTTTGTAGATTATTCTTTTAACCGCCCTACTAGCAATGGCCCAAGCTTCCAATTTGGACTATTTTGGAAATTTGGGATACACCAGAAATTTGGCATACAATGGATACCTAGGATACAATGGATATTTAGGATACAACAGATATTTGGGATATAATGGACATTTAGGATATTCTGCCCCATGGACCTTTGGTTACTCGGGACGTTACTTACCCACTGGATATCCAAACATTTATAATTCTCCATTTATTACAAAAACCATTTCTGCCCCAACCGTTGAAACTCCAGTTTTCAATAGTTTTTCTTACACACCCACCGTTTCTAAATACGCCATCCATTCTAAAACCGATCCTGCCATCACCAGAACCCTTTCTAAAGAAGCTGTTAAAATTTTACAAGAAAAAATCTTTTCCCCAATCTACGATGCTCCACTAGTAACCAAGATAGCTCCAGTGGCAAAATCTGTAGCCCCAATCGAAGTCAAAACCGTTAGTGGTGAACCAACTATTTCCGAATACTCCACTTATGTGGCTAACACCCCAGCTTTCGAGAAGACCATTGTCCACCACCAGGCCCCAATTGTCCAAGAAAGGGTCACTCCATTGGTTCATCACAGAATCGCTGGGAGCTTGTAAATTATGATTTTAAATTGTAGTTTTTAAAATGGAATAAAGATTGCAGAGTATATTTTTTGGTTTTATTTTATAAAGGATATTTTTTTTTAAATTAAATGTTAAAAATCTGTTATCCCGGCACATTCACCATTTCTGCGAAAATGAAAAGGGGACGTTACGTCTCCACTGGATTCCAATATTTAAAAGCCGTCTGCTGAACCAACCATTTCCCAATGCTTCCTTATATAACTAAGGGTTTGAAAAGACTGGTTCATAAAAAGGCTTTAATTGTCCAAGATCCAAGATAAATTAGATTGTATGCGAAAGGGTCACTCCAGCAGTTCTTGTGAAAATCGCTGCTGCTCCATTTGTTGCCAAACATTTAGTTAAATCTTTGTTCTGTGGTGTTTTGAAGAAAATAAAAAATGTTCGCTATATCTTTTTTTATTAACATAATTCGTTTGTTAAAGTAATAAAGTAAAACAATATGTAGGTTCTACAGTGAAGGTTATATTTTTAATAAGTATTGCAACCAAAATACGTAGTTTTAGTTATTTCCCAAATTGGCTTTCTCTACTTGTCCGTAATCTAAATCAATTACCTATTTAAAACCTAAAAATAAAGAAACAGCAATTTTTAATGCATATTCTAGTAAATTAATTTCAGCTCTGCAAAAACGGTTTCTTACGATTTTTTTTTTAATTTGACCATTTAAATTAATATTTTTCAAATACATTATATTGTCAAAGTATAAGGTAATCTTACTAGGAATGGTTTTATCATGAAATATAAGGAAAACACTTATAACACTTGTCTACAGTAAAAACCACTATAGTCTAAAAAACACAACATTCTCAACATTAAACTTTTACAATCAATCGACAGATGGGGATAAAGTATAATGATTTAGTCAAAATTAATCATAAATCAATAAAGTTAGTTTAACATTAAAAATAAAATAATGAAAAAACAGTGTTTTTATATAACTCTATCTATTCCAAATTGGAATTTCCAATTAATATTCTAGTTGTTAGGCATCAGTAATTGTCCGATTGTATTATTCATTTTAATTTAAACTAATCGGGTTTTAAATTGGAAAAAGGAGGCTATAATAGAATTAAATATTGGTAAAAAGTGAGGTTAACCATCTGATAGATGTCAGATTTTATTTTTAACTTTTAAAAATTCTTTAAGTATTACTTATTGAAGTAGATAAACGTATATTATTATACGAGAGATAATGCAGGCTATTATTCATAAGAATGAAGTTTGCGTCTCGAATCGCCAGACGAGAGACTTAAATCATCCTAGTGAATAATGCGCATAATATGGATGTAATACTATACTTTATCTACTCTCTAAAAATGAATTGGTTAAAAATGACTAATTTAATAGTTTCTAGTGGCTGCTTTTTTATGGTTAACCATGGAATACCATGGTATTCCAAAATTTATCGGGGTATTCCAAAATTTAACAGCCAATTATTATGTAAAATTGTCCCCCCCAGATAGCACAAAGGTGTACTATGGACGTGCAATGGACGTATGCTCGTGGACGTCTGTATGTACATAGGATGTCCATTTTTTTTCTATGGACGTCCCATGGACATCCGTTTAGAGTCCAGATGTCACAACTTTGGACATCCATAAGTCGTCCACCGATGGACGTCTATAAGGTGTTTGAACCATTCCTCCAGCATCCAGGACCTGCTTTATTTGCTTACTTTAACTGTTTTTTGCGACTGTATTTTCATTGCGATGTTGCAGAAAATTTTCTACAACATGACTGAAATGCCTTTTGTCTGGCTCAGTAACAATCCCACTAGGAATATAAATATTCTAAAAGTTGTTAAAAGTTACAACATTCAATGTTGAACATTGCAGGAAATCCTTGTATTCGACTCAGGAACATTACATTTGCAATACTACAAGTGTTTAACATTTCATTGATAGCTTAAGTCCTTTATAGCACGCGCTTGCTTGAATGTCAGTGAGATTGATCAACTGTTGTTATGCAGCCAACAATACGTTTTAACTTGCATTTCTGTAATAATAATTATGGACGTAAAATGGACACTATATGGACGTCCATTAAAATCGTACAAAGGATGTAAATATATGGACGTACATAGTACATCCATTTTTAGTCCATGGACCAATGTACTTAAAATGGATCTTAAACGGACGTCCATTGGACGAATGGTGCTATCTGGGCCTGAATCCGAAAATACCGTCAAAAATTATGAAAGTGGAGCAGTTTTCGAGATATAGTCAATTCCATATTAAATGGAAAATTGGCCATATCTCAAAAACTGTTCTACTTTTTTAATTTTGGAATACCATGGTATTCCATGGTTAATCATGGCACAAGTGAAAACGCAGCCACTAATAACTATTAAATTAGTCATTTTTGACTAATTCATTTTTAGAGAGTAGGTACTCCAATAAATAGAAAAATGATTTTCAAAAATAAATAAATAAAATCTGACATCTGTCAAATAGTTAACCACAATTTTTACCAATTTTAAATGTGATTATAGTCGCCTTCCCCAATTTAAAACCCGATTGGTTTAAATCACAGCGAATATTGAAATCGGACATTCACTCATGCCTCAAAAAGTGAATAATAAGTTTATTATTCCCGTTGTTTAGCAGCGAATTTATGTTTATCATTAATCACAAATTAAACAATATTATGGAATAGCAGTAGTAATACACTCGAAATTATGCGCATTATTTACTCTCATTATTTGCGTTGTGAATAATAGCTTGCATTATCTCTCGTATGATAATATACCATTATAATATGCTTTTGCTGAAAAAATCGTAGGAGACCATTTTTATAGAGCGGGATATTTTTTTACTAGTGATACGATTTTTAATATATCTTATCTAAATTTTACTGTATATCTACTTATTAGCGAGTCATGATTATTTTCTTCTCCCATTAAGAATAAAAAGTATCATCATTTAGGTAGAACTAAACTATACTTTTTTTTTATTTATTTTTAGATTATAACAAATTGATTTAAACCATGATCAAGTAAAAAAAGGAAATTTGTAAAATAACGGACACCCCAATATGAATTAGTAAATTTGAAGTATAAATATATAAATATAAGTAGGGCAAAAAAACGGTTTTTAAGAATTTATATAATTATAGAGTTTAGTGGATATTAAGTGACATTTTCGTGCTAAGAAAAAATGTGGTTCCTTTATTACCTAATATTGCTTATCATGGCAGTTTCACTTAACACGTTTATCCACTAAGTTTTTTAATTATAAAGGTCTACAAATTTTTATATAATTCTAAAAATGATAAAAAATTATAAGTTAATCTAAAAAATTGTTTGTTATTTTTTATTCAAAATATTTTGTAATACTTTAAAAACAAGTTTTTTTATCTATTTTTTAGTAATTTATTAGTAATTTATTATTTGATGAAAATTAAATAGAATGTTATCGTAAAAGTAATAGGCATACCAATTTTAATTATAAAGAAATTTAAAATAAATTATTAAATCAACTAGTTTTTTACTATAAAATCGCAGTGCGCGCTTCTCTTAAAATCAGTTACCGATTGGATTTTGAATTTAAACAATGGCATCAAAGGTAATATAGTATTTAATAATTTGGATTTAACATTTTATAACACCGTTGATATCTAAAATCATACAAAATTATTCAAACATTTCTTTCGCTTCAGATTGTTCTATTCGCCACTTTGTTGGCCGCCACTAAAGCCAGCCATTTAAGCTACAACCACTTTACAGCCCCATTGGAATATAACTCCATCTCTGTCCCAACCATCCAACGTTACCTGCATCAATCCGCTCCAATCGTCACCAAAGTTTTAGAACAAGGCCCGGCACCAATCTACACCAAAGTTCACCACGAACCAATAGTAGCTCCAGTCACCAGAACCCACGTATCACCTCTGGTCCAAGAATATGACTACGGCTACTCTTTAAGCGATCCTTACAGCGCCAATCACCAAAACAAAGTTGAATCTCGTCGTGGTGATGTTGTGACCGGTAGCTACTCTCTTTTGGAAGCCGATGGCAGCAAAAGGATTGTAGATTATATAGTAACTCCTTTGGATGGTTTCAAAGCTACCGTGCGCAAAGAAGCTCCTATAGTAGCTGCACCAATTGCTGAAGCTCCAGTTTTATTGGAAAAACAACATTTTGCAGCCCCAGCTTTGGAATATGGATTGTAAAAATGTTTAAATAATCTATAAAAACTAGAGTTGTCTAAAAATATTACGAATTTTGTGAATAAAATTTTAGTTCCTAAATATGCAAAAACTAAATTTGTTTTATGAAAGCAGTTTAATTTTTTTTAATAATAAAGTTTTTATAGTTTTAATCAAGAACCTTATTTTCTATGTTTTTGTTATTAAATATTAAATAAACGTTAGAAATTTATTCATTTATTCTTTTTTTTACTCCCACCTTTAAAACGCCCTTTATCGTACATGTTTCCATGCCACAAAGTGACCTTTTAAATACACATTGACAAGTTGTGGCTTTGTGGCGCTTTAGTCACGGGCTGAAGTTAGTAACAGGATTTTAGTCACGGGCTGAAGTAAGTTTTAAGTTAGTTAACAGTGGTCAAATGTCATGCAATCGTTAAAATAAAGTGCCTTTCTTGTAAAATAATAAGTACTAAATCTGAACATTATTTTATTATCTCAATACAAAAATACAAAAGTATTAAATAATTTCTCAACGCCAATATTAAACTATAACTTAAATTCCGTCACGGACTCCACACGGAGAGAAAAGTATAATGCTGATTATCATAATTATAATATCCTTTACTATAATTTATATTACTATTTGGGACAACTATCTTGTATATTGTCAGATACTATGCATATTTAGTAATTTTTAAATATCCATGTATGTTAAACCTTAAGGTAAAATATTATTATTCTCAACCAATTTTGTTTTTAATTCTTATTATAATTAGATTTTTTCCATTACTAAGAAGTATAGTAAATTTTAAAATATTATGTTGCCATTTTAAATACATACATAAAAGTATATTTATTTTTACTATATTTTTTATTAATGTCTAATATATTATAATATTAGATGTACGCCTTACATATGATTAAATCATATAGTAAATATTTCTATTTGTAGATAGTAAAATCAATTTACTATACGAACATATTAAAAATTAAAATATATATTATACATTTATGATTTAGTAATATTGGTTTTGTAATCTTTACTAAAATTGTATAAGAAAAAATAATATTTTGTATTACAATCTTAATATTGTATTGACGAATATATAATATTGTTACCTTAAAAATTTGTTAAAGTAATTTTACTATATTTTTTTACTATCTAAAATTTACTATACATTTCTCTCCGTGTAGTCTTTTAACTAAAATCTACTACAACCTAAAACTTTTTCAACATTCCCTCATAGCGACTAATATCCTGCCCAAAACTCCTTAATTCCCTACAAATTTGTTTAAAACAACATTTTTATATTTTTAATACTTAAAAAGTTATGTTTATATGTTTATAATCTTATTTAAAAAATAAGCTTAAATATGCTTTATATAGGAAATGTAATATCAATGTTTTTCCGTAAAATCATAAAAATAAGACTTAACAAGTCCATATTTCTTAAATATTAATGAAAATTGTGTAGGTAATTTAATTTAACTTTTTGATATATGTTCAATGATTTGGTGTCGAGGCCTAATAAACACATAATTTAAAAAACATTTTTTAAAGTATTTTACCATGCGAATTTAGAAATATAGTAAAAATTAAGAAGATATTTTATACGTGTAATAACCAAAAAATAAGATTTATTTAAATTTTATTGATTTGATTAATAACACTGTGCGACAATTTTCGGGTCATCGAAATCAAACCGCACCGGACCATTTTTTTCTGAAAATATACCTATCCAATAGCAAAACCCTCGCTGGGTTTGTAAAAGTTAGCTCGAATTTTTTTTTTATGGCCGTTTGTATTTTCGAGCTTCATATACCCCAATTTAGACCTATAAATCGATTTTTTTCGCATACATTCGATTTATATCGTCAAGATTTTTTGTATAAATGTAGATACTGCACAAATAAACCCATTTTGTGAACAACCTTTATCCCAAAAACCCAATTTTTGGGACAAAATATTCGAAAATAATTTTTTTTTAAATTTTTTGATAATATTTAAAATTTCTTGCTACTTCTTCTGGCAAAAATGTTGTAAAGTATACTAAAAGAAGTAATTTATAAAATACGCACACAAAACTGAACTTGCTTGCTTGCTTATTTGCTGAAAAATAATGTTTAAACAAGATTTTCCAAAATATTCATCTTTTCACACTCAACACCAAATATTTTGCCAAAAATCTGTAGGAAAAAATTGAATAGATAAAATATAATTCTAGAAAAGTACAGAGAGTTTGATTTTTTATTTTGTATTAATTTTATTATTAAAAAACTTTTTATATCAAAACATTGAGTAATCTGATTCATTGCTGAAGATTTCCATCCCTTCCACTTCTTCTCCTTTATTTCCTTGCTCTTCATTTTCATTTTTTGATTCATCACTAGAGAATTTCATCCCTTCCACTTCTTCTCCTTTATTTTCTTGCTTTTCATTTTCATTTTCTTCCTGATCGTAGTCAAAAATATGTTTACTTCAGCAAAATGTTTCGGCTAGTATGGTATCTGGAGCTCGTTTTCCTCTTTATCTGGACTCAAATGGCATCGCAGTTTGATAATTGTGTCGATAACTGTCGACTGAAGTAGTCCAAATGGCGATGAGGGAAATGAATTTTTAGCGACATATTGACTCCAATTTTGGAAAAAAACATCCAACATTCGTCCCACAGATCCTTTATAATTGGGAGAACGATGTTTGCCTAAAAGTCCTAGGATGATTTCTCTTATCGACGCCCACGAAACTCATTGTCAACCAAGGCCCTGTCAAAGTCTTCATACTTTACCAATTTCCGAATATCAGGATCATTTAAAACGCCTGAAATGAAATGAATATAAAAAATATATGAAATGAAGGGATGGAATTCTCCAGTAAAGAATGAAAATGAAGAACAAGAAAATAAAGGAGAAGAAGTGGAAGGGATGGAATTCTCCAGAAATTAATCAGATATTTTGATATAAAAAAGTTTTTTAATAATAAAATTAATACAAAATAAAAAATCAAACTCTCTGTACTTTTCTACAATTCTATTTTATCTATTCAAGTTTTTTCTACAGATTTTTAAAGATTTCGGCAAAAAATTTGGTGTTGAGTATGAAAAGATGAATATTTTAGAAAATCTTGTTTAAAAATTGTTTTCAAGCAAATAAGTAAACTTAAAGTTCAGTTTTGTGTGCGTATTTTATAAATTACTTCTTTTAGTATACTTTACAACATTTTTGCCAGAAGAAGTACCTAGCAAGACATTTTAAATTAATTAATTAAATTATCGAAAAATTAAAAAAATATATTTTTCGAATATTTTGGGATATAGATTGTTCACAAAATGGGTTTATTTGTTCAGTAACTACATTTCTACAAAAAATCTTGACGATATAAATCAAATATATGCGAAAAAAATTGATTAATAAGTCTAAATTGGGGTATATGAAGCTAGAAAATACAAACGGCCATAACAAAATAAATCGAGCTAACTTTTACAAACCCAGCGAGGGTTTTGCTATTGGATAGGTATATTTTCAGAAAAAAATAGTCCGGTGCGGTTTGATTTTTGGTGTTGCACAGTGTAATAAACCAATACCGCAGGGTTACTTATAACTAAAAAAGTTAAACTACTAATAAATAACTATATGTTTGCAATAATGGCGAATGCGCCGGGATTAATCCGGTTTATACAAAATTTTAAATAGAATCCTTTAAAAGTTTCTTTTGCATTCAATTTTAACATTTAAAATTTGGTTTTAATCATGTTATATTTTAATAAATAATCTAGATTTTATTATATAAAATAATCATTGGACATTAGACATTAGATATTGGACTTTTAGATACTTAATTACAATGAGTTTTGTTGTATTTCACCCATAATTTTTTTTAACACTATGTTTTATAATAAAAGGATGTATTTTAAACTATTGTTGCAAGTTCTTTATTATTTAATTTTTTTGTCTAAACAGAAATTCTTAAACAATGACTCCATTTTTGCGGACAACAGCTCTGAACCCTTCGAGCGGATGAGCAGTGTAATCAACAACCCTATGAAAACCATCGGCATCCAAGACCGAGTAGCTGCCGGTCACAAAATCACCACGTCTGGACTCCACCCTGTTTTGGTGATGAGTATCATAAGGATTATCCACGGAGTACCCGAAGTCGTATTCGGCTGGTCCTGGTTGAACGTGGGTCTTAGTGACTGGAGCTACGATTGGTTCGTGGTGAACTTTGGTGTAAATTGGTGCTGGGCCTTGTTCCAACACTTTGGTGACGATTGGAGCGGATTGGTGCAGGTAACGTTGGACGGTTGGGACAGAGATGGAAGTGTATTCCAATGGGGCTGCAATGTCGTCGTAGGCCAAGTGGCTGGCTTGGGTAGCGGCCAACAAAGTGGCGAATAGAACAATCTGAAGCAAAAGAAATGTGTGATTAATTTTGTATGATTTTAGATGTGAAAGATGTTATTAAATGTTAAATACAAAGTATTAAATGCTATATTACCTTAAATGCCATTGTTTAGATTTGAAATACAATGGATTACTGATTTTGTAAAAATTATTCCTTGTTTTATAGTAAAAAACTAAAAAAGCAAGTCAATTATATAATTTGTTTTTAATTTAATAATAATTATAATCTTGATAAGAAATACTATTTAATTTTCAATTACTAAATATGTGCGAATATATTCTATCTTATAAGATATAATAAAATTATAAAATTACATATTGATTATTGTTTATGTTTTTTAACTTTGATTATAAAAATTGATATTATTGTTTAAGGGTTTTAAAGAACTTAATTAATTTTGTTTAACTAAAAACTAATTGAAAACTTATAGAACCTCGTCACTGTGTTTTGTTACAGATGTATTCCTCACCAGACACCGACAGACAGACTGTTTTGGTCTTTTGGACCCCCTCAGTGGCGGGTAGCTGGGTAGCCGCTTTATAGTCGGCCGGATAAACGACAGCGGTAGCACAGTGAACAAAGGTTATCAGCACCATCTACCGTCCAAAGAACGTGGCTATGTGTATTGGCAGACACTGCATGCTAACATCATAGATGGTGTACAACTCCAGCGCTTAGAAGACTTTATCTAGCCAAAAACCGTTACTAACAGTAAACCTATCAAACAAGGTGTTTATACTTAATAATAATATACCATAAGGAAAACTTATAGAACCACATCACTTTGCGAGAGCGAATTTTTGGCACAATCATAATAAGCAAAGACCGGATTTTAAGCCCTTAAAAATTGGAAATTAGGACACATAAATAGGCGATATAAAATAAAAACAACACGATTAAACATAACATTTATTCAGGTCCTATCAATAAAAATAAAACAAAAAATACATATGTCTTAATATAAAATACATAATAAAAATAATAATACAACCTCTTGCAAACAATTGCCCGTATGAATAAAGAAAAGGAAAACCTTACTTGTAAAATTTAAAGCAAATCTTTTGCCAATATATATTTATATATATATATATATATATATTAGGGTGTCCCAAAAAAAAAAGAATATATTTTTTTTTCTTGTCTCTTGTAAAAATATGTTAGTTTATCATGCTGTAAGAGCCCTTTCAAAATATCAGCTCGATTAAAAATTTTGTAGGGGTCGCTCAAGATTTTTAAAAAATTTCAAAATCGTCAAAAATTGAATTTTTGTTTTATTTTAATTCTTTTTCTCGTCTCGATATTATTTTTTAGGTTGAAAATAATAAAAATTCTGTAAAGTTCAAATCAATATTTTGATTTCTAAAGGTCGCTAAAAGTTCGTTGATATTTATATTCAGAGGTCGCTCGAAAACATTCAAAATACTCTACTTTGAAAGTTAAAAAAATCTTGAGCGACCTTTAGAAATTAAAATACCGATTTGAAATTTTCAGAATCATTATTATTTTTAAATTAAAAAATAATATTGGAACGAGAAAAAAAATTAAAATTAAAAAAAAATCCAATTTTTGACGATTTTGGTAATTTTAAAAATCTTGAGCGACCGCTAAACATTTTTTAATGGTGCTGATCTTTTGACAGGGCTCTTAAAACATGACAAACCAACATATTTTCACAAGAGACGAGAAGAAAAAAAATATTCTTTTTTTTGGGACACCCTAATATATATATATTGGAATAAAACAATTAAAAGCACGATACGTTGATTCCAACGGTTGTCAAAGTTGGCTTTAGCCATCTAGGTATTATCTTTATAGAAAAATTATTTACCACCTGTAAATTGTGGAGAGTTATTTAATTATGCAATAGATGGCGACAAATAATATTACTAAAAACTTTTAAAAAGTTTGAAATTACATTATACGTATATATGTATATGGAAATTACATATATGGAAGTTACAGTAAAACCTATGAAAACAAAGCAAATAATAATTTTCAACCATTATTTTACAAACTTAGTATTATCCATAATTATTTATTATAAATATTTAGATAGCAAAAACACAATTACTTTTTTTATTAGGTTTTCACTAGTTTTGTAATTTGTGGTAGGCGAAATAAGAGCATGAAAGCAGGGTCTAATTAAAAATAATTTACTTTTCCGCAATGAAAAATATATTTTTACTGAAAAATTTAAAAATTTCTTTTTAAGACAATAAATTAAATTTCGCCATTTTAGGCTTTTAGGCAAAAAAAGGGGTGTCAAATGCTTTATTTTTTATGTTTAGGATTAATTTCAAGGTCCCAAACAAATGCCTAAAATAGAAACAAAAACAAAAGCCTAAAATCCAGTCCTTGATAATAACTAAGTAAAAATTTTGGATAGAGGACCCATAAAAAAAGACTGCTTCTATCATTATTTAAACGGTTGTTAGTACATTTCAAGGGATAAATTTCGATCTTTTTTGAAAAATTTGACATGACCATTTTGAAAGCCGGTAAAACAGATTCACAGGTTACTTTATTTATGTATAGATTTCGTTCTATTTATTTGTCGTAGAAAAACTATAGTATGCAACTCGTTTATACACTTTTCTAGACACTCATTTTATTAAACACTCTCTCGCAAGCTCGCTCGTGCCTGATTAAAATTCGTTAATAAAATGGTGTTTATCAAACTTGATACATACATAATATACTATTTATTATCTACTCCCACATTAATAACGTAAGATTTATAATAAAGTAAGATTTATAATAAATTGCGAAAAAGTAAGTTACACTCGTCAGATGTCAAATATTTAACAATTAAAATTGGCTTTAAATTCTTCTTGTGCTTGTGCCTAATAAAACTCGTAACTAAAATAACGCTTATTAAACTTAAATATATATATATATATAATAAATAATATACCAATTTATATTTTCTAAAAAAAGGTATATTATGTTATGATTGTAATATAAGGTAACTATTAAAGTGGGCAATAACGGTTAATGTTTGTTAAAACGTAACTTTTAAATGAACATCCAACATCTGTTTTTAAGTTATGTTCATATTCTTTAAAGTATTAAAATCATTGAAAAAACGGGGTAAAGTACTGATTCTAAATCACCGATATTAAAATATCGCTTATATTTAGCCCATGGAGGAATCTAATTTTAATTTTTTTGTTAAAAGTATCTTCTGTAGCGGATTTACAAAATACATAATTAATAATAATTTATTGATAGCAATATTTTTTTTTATATAAAGTGGCATTTAAAATTATTATCCGTTTTATGATTTCCAAATAGTTAGTTACCTACTTTTAAGTTCTTTTAATTTTAAATTTTTATTTAATTTTTAGGAATAATTGATTTCCAAAATACTTAGAGAATTTAATGAAGTTAAAGGATCAACAGTTATAATGACTAATGAATTAATTAATGTTTTTAATATTACGTCAAAAAAAAATCATATTGCCTTTTTAAACACCCTAATATGCTACCTCAATAAGAATAGTAAACTTAAAAACGTATTAAATGCTATAAAAATGTTTGCAATAATGGCGAATGCGCCGGGATTAATCCTTTTAAATTATTATTTTTTATATTACTATACCTTTCTTTCTCTTACATTAAATTTAAACATTAAAAATTTTGGTATAATTATGTTATATTTTAATAAATAATCTAGATTTTATTCGCCATTTTATTATGACATTATTAGACACTGGACTTTTAGATACTAAATTGTAATGGTACCACCATTTTACGGCTTTTTGATTAATTTTGCATAATTTTTGTTGTATTTCGGTTTCTTATCATACCATTTTATACCCACCTATAATTTTTTTGGTATTTTTAATAATATGTTTTATGTTAAAAGGATGTATTAACAACTATGCTTCATGTTTTTTATTATTTAATTTATTTGTCTAAACAGTAATTCTCAAACAATGACTCTATTTTTGCGGACAACAGCTCTGAACCCTTCGAGCGGATGAGCAGTGTAATCAACAACCCTATGAAAACCATCGGCATCCAAGACCGAGTAGCTGTCGGTCACAAAATTACCACGTCTGGACTCCACCCTGTTTTGGTGATGAGTATCATAAGGATTATCCACGGAGTACCCGAAGTCGTATTGGGCTGGTCCTGGTTGAACGTGGGTTTTAGTGACTGGAGCTATGATTGGTTCGTCGTGAACTTTGGTGTAGATTGGTGCTGGGCCTTGTTCCAACACTTTGGTGACGATTGGAGCAGATTGGTGCAGGTAACGTTGGACGGTTGGGACAGAGATGGAACTGTATTCCAATGGGGCTGCAATGTGGTCGTAGGCCAAGTGGCTGGCTTGGGTAGCGGCCAACAAAGTGGCGAATAGAACAATCTGAACAGAAAGAATTGTGTGATTAATTTTGTATGATTTAAGATGTGAACGATGTTTTTAAATGTTAATTACAAATTATTAAATGCTATATTACCTTAAATGCCATTGTTTAGATTTAAAATACAAAGGATTAATAATTTTAAAAGAATTATTCCATGTTTTATATTAAAAAAACTAAAAAAAGCAAGTCAATTAGATTATCTAATTGACTTACTTTTTTAGTTTTTTAATATAAAACATGGAATAATTCTTATAATTTGTTTTTAATTTATTAATAATTAAAATCGGTATATGTGTCGTTTGATAAGAAGTACTATTTAATTTTCAATTAGTAAACATGTGCGAATAAGATATAATAAAATTATATATTGATAATTGTTTATGTTTTTAAACTTTGATTATGAAAATTGTTTTTTAAGGGTTTTAAAAACTCAATTATTTTTTTTTCAACTTAAAACTAATCGGATTTAAATGGTTGTTATTCAATTTCAAGAAAAATTTCAATCTTAAGATATAAAAGATTTAAAAACTATCACGTCCAATTAGAAGGCCGGTACACAGATGCACAGGTTACTCTATTTTTGTATAGATGTCGCTCTATACAAAATTTGTATATTTAATATTTAAACTAAATTTTTATACCTAATAATATTTGTCGTAGAAAAAGTATGGTATGCAACTCATTTATCAAGTTTGATAAACGTCATTTTAGTTCCGAATTTAATTTAGGCACGAGCGAGCTTGCGAGCGAGTGCTTAAATTAATGAGTGTCTAGAAAAGTTCATAAACGAGTTGCATACTATACTTTTTCTACGACAAATTCTTATTATTATCTTAAAATTATTTAAATCAAATATTTGTATAGAGCACCATCTATAAAACAATAGGGAAATCTGTGTTAGGTACCGTAAAATGTCAAATTTTTCTGTGTTAGAAAGGTTATAAATCGAAATATTTTCGATGAAAATCGATTAACAAGAGTTTTTCTCAGTGAAAGTAAAGAAAATGTTTTATGAGCAATTCACGGTGGAGTCCGAGCTCGAATTTAAGTTATATACAGTTTACTTTCGGCGAAATTAAAAGGTCAGTACAATGTTCATATAAACTTTTCAAATATTGGCGTTGAGATACTATTTAATGCTTTTGTATTTTTGTATTGCGATAATAAAATTATTTTCTCATTTAGTATTATTTTACAAGAAGGGCACTTTATTTTAACGATTGCATGACATTTGACAACTGTCAGCTAACTTAAAGCTAACTTCAGCACGTGACTAAAAACCTGTTGCTAACTTCAACCCGTGACTAAAACGCCATAAAGCCACAACTTTTCAATGTGTATTTAAAAGGTCACTTAGTGTCATGAAAACATGTACGATAATGGACGTTTTAAAGGTGGGAGTAGAAAAAAATTAAAAAAGTAACTTTTAAAGTGGTTAATAATGATTTACGTGTTTTAAATAAAGTCAATGTTTGTTAAAACGTGACTTTTAAATAAACGTCCAACATCTTCAAAGTATTTAAATCGTTTTAAAAACAGGGTAAAAATCTCTATTTTAAAATATCGCTCATCTCTGGCCCACGGAGGAATATAATATTTAAATTTTTGTTAAAAATATACTTGTATCTTCTGTAGCGGATTTACAGAATAGGTACATAATTATTGATAATTTATTGATAATATATTTTAATTTTATATAAAGTGGCTTTGAGAATGAAATTTATGACTTAATAGGGTAATATTTTTAAAATAGTTTGCAACTTTTTTTTATTATTTATTTTTGTATATTTTTTAGATTAAACAATTATTATAAAGAAAGCATATTTTTTCATTAAAATCAGATTTAAAAAAATGATATTACGAAAAATGTAATTAATAAACAACATGTATTATCTATTATTGCAAATGTTTCAGTAGGTCCTCCTTAAACTATTTTTAATAGTCGGTATTACCAATCGACCGGATTTAAATCTTTTTAAAACCTTAGAATACAAATTAAATGATATTAAAACTTTTAATTTAAAAGTAATTAATTTATGACTTATTTTTGTACTACACAAATACAATTTACCTTTTCAAAAGATATCAGTAAAACAAAGGGTGTAAAATAAAATATTTTATTGTATAAAAACTATTGTAGGTATATTAATTTTTTGTCTTAGTTTGAGACATGGCTATACCAATCGCATACAAGAATTTTCCAGTCCCAATCGTCCAGCGTTACGTGTACCAATCAGATCCAATCGTCACCAAATTCTTGGAACGAGGCACAGCACCAATCTTACACCAGGACTTACATATCACCTGCACCAGCTGAATACTATTTGAAAGACCCCTGCACGGCCAATCACCAAACAAAGTGGTACTAAAAAACCTATTAGCATGCACCAATACAAAGAAAAATCTTTTACGCTGCCCCAGTTGCTTAATAAAAAAACACACAGAGAAAAGTAATCTCTTGATTTAAGAAAATGCATTTATTTGAAACAGGTTTTCTTGTGTGAAGTAAAATTTTCTTATTCGTATAAACTTGTTGTTTACAATAAGAAAATACTATTATTTGGTTGTAAAGCATAAGTTTCTTAAAAACAACTTATTGTTATGATTAATTGTAAAGAAATATTTATTTAGAGCAATTAATTAAATTGTTTGGATGTAGGTTTTGTTTCTTTAAGTAAGCTTCTACTAAACCTGAGATAAAAAGTCAACTAGGTATTTACTTGTATTAACCAAATATCAGTTTAAAAAGTCAAATAAACCCAAGTTTGAGCCAAGGCAAATATAGTAAAATCAAGAGATTACTTTTCTCTGTGCAGCCTTACAATATGGATGGTAGGTTGGAAATTCTAAATAATATCAGTTAATAAATAATATTTATTTATACTATAAACATAATACACTTTGTATTACTTACATAAAAAATTTACATATCAAGGTCGAGAAATGACCTTTAAAATAAAAATATAATTGGTTATTGCTACTGTACAAAATATTACTAAACAAAATTACTAATATGTATTTAAGGTAAATTTAATTTTAAGCAATCATATTAACCATATGTTGTCTAAAATCAAAGAGCCGCTAACTGATATTTTGGGGATAATGAGTTTTTGATTTCATTGGAATCGTGAAAAAATTCTGCATTATACCGTACTGAGATTTAAAAAAAACGCATTGTTTTTATTACTGCGACGCAAAGAACGAAAAACCTACTAAATTTAAAATCGTCGTCCAGAAAAAAGAGTTAACTAAAACAAATAAATTGACCCTAGATTAGTAATGTAGCAGAGCTTAATTAAATGCATAGATTAAATGTCACCATTTCTAATGGAAATGGTTTTTCGCCTTTTTCTCCGTTTCATTCAAAATATACATAGATTGGTTTCTTTAAATGGCACACAGTGGTCTCAATCCCGAAAAAAGCTGGCCAAAAGTCGTTAAAGGTTTAGATTTGATTTAAACTTACTATACTTTGGTGTTCGAAGTCGCTAATTACGATTTTGAAGATATATTTTAAAAATTCGCAATAGAAAATCCAAAATGGCCGACTTATTAAAAAAAACTTGAAATCGATTGAAAATTTTAATTTTAATAGTTTCCCGATAAAATTACTACTTCAATTCATAAATTCAAAATAGTATATTAAAATTGGCCGAATCTTTAAAAAATTCTTGTATCCGATTTAAATTAAAATATTTAAACGATATCAAGGATTTTTTTCAATAAGGCGGCTATTTTGGATTTTCTATTATAAATTTTTATACATCCATAAAATCGTAATCAAAGTACCCACAGTAGGTTCCAATCAAATCTGAACCTTTAACGACTTTTGGCCAGCTTTTTCGGAATCGGGTCCACTGTGCGGCAGTTTAACTTGACCATCCAGAGATGTAGCTACAAAAGTAACACAAAAATGCAATAACAAAAAAAATTCCACCTAACATTGTTTTATATATTCTTTAAACATAAATATATTTTTGACTCTCCAACGTATGTGCCTCTTCAGTTTTTTTATCATACAAAGCTTCAGTAATACCATTGCTGATACTATTATAAGGACCTTTGGGTGACAATAATGATACAGATGGTACCTGAGGTGTCAAAACCCCCTTAAGATCCATTGCTGATATATCTACTTGTTTTGATATGCCATCAAAATCAGTTATCCATTTTTTGCCAGTGGTACCTCTATCTTTCTTATAGTAAGGCCTCTTTTCTGCGTACTGAATACCTAAAAAATATACTTAAATAATCTACCAAGCAAAATATTGTGAAAAAATACCCAGTCTAGTCGCCTCATAATCATCTGTAAATGGTACCCCATACTTCTCTCTATACAGCGGTACCTCACTATTCTGGGGTACCAATACTCTTTGACTAACCAGGGGTACCCCATGATCAATTTGTTTTTCTTGTACTATTACTCGTTGTTCCACCGCTGGTACCCTCTCTTCAACGTATTGGATTTGGGGTACCACGGTTTTAACCGTTTGCAGGGATACCAATTTTGATAGAGTTTGTGTGTAGTAACTGCTGGATAAAGCGGCACTGTGGGCTATTACCTGAGATTTTATAAGAGGTACCATGGAACAAATAAGAAGTAGCTAATAATAAAAAAAAGTATTTTATAAAAAAAAACAATCAAGCAAGGGTTCACATTTATAACAAAGTTTTTTTTAATAAAAACGTTTCCGTTTTCGTTTTCGTTTTTAGCAGTTTTTGTGTAGGTAAATTAGTCAAAAAATGCACTTTTGAGACATTTCTTGGTTGGGTTTAGTGCACGCGGTTGGGTTGGCCCACGAAATATATCTACCCAGTAGCGGATTTAAGGAAAATGGCCCAGTGGGCAAAAGCTTTCTAGGGGTCCTTACGCCATACTACATTATTTGCTCTTCGATCGTTGCAGCAGTCGCACAAAAAAAATACTTAAAGCACGGAGAAAATAAAACAGTAGGTAACCATTGATGCGCAGAACAGTAATCCGGTCAATAAACTATTGGAAATATTCTTTATATTCTCATTGATGCGACAAAAAAACTATTGCGGTTGTCAAAGTAACCCGTGAGGTTTTAGTAAAAATTGTATGATTTCAAATAGTACATTGACATTGAAGTTGACGTTGACATTCTAGTACTCTAGTACATTAGTACTCTGCGCATCAATGGTTAATATTTTATTTTCTTAGTCTAAATGTTATTGTATCGTTCGTTTTTTTAAGGTTGGTTCTTAATATTTAATTTTCCTAAATATATAGTAAAATCTTGAACCTTTTAACACTTGACAAGTAAACAAACACTATTTGTGGCTTCAAGATGTGTTTTGACAGTTGTTTTGAGTGTTTTTTTCGAAAACAACTTAAAATGATAAAAAGGTGGATAGTTGTGGTGAAAAATGCGACAGAATGACGTACATTTATCTTTTAAGTTATTTTAGTTATTGGCGTCCCTTGCAATTTTTATTTTACTATGAATTAAATATTGGATTAGCCAATAATAGGTACATACAATTTTGTAGGTATAAATTTTAATGTTATCAGTTTATAACAATTATAATTTTACTTAATAAGTATAAGTATCAGTGTTCCTGTTCCCCTTTGCTCGCATGGCGAGCTCAGGGCTCAGAGCTCAGCTTAGCCCAGGCTCAGAGCTTGGAAAAATGTTCAGTATACATGCATTCAGGGAAAAATAATAGGAGAGTTGAACTTTAATACACATTTTATTAATTATGTAAACATTGAATTAAATTGCAATGTGGCAACAATGTTAAGGATCAATTTGGCAGCATTCATATATTTTCCGGAAGCTTTTTTTTAAATCTAAAGTAACTCATAGCAGGAGGGACCCCAGTGGGCAAATACTTAAATGCCCATCCGCCATCTATCATACATACGATTTACCCTTTCTAATGCAATTGTTTTAGTATTTATACCCAAATTTATTCAATAGCCAATAAATTAATTTATCATAATAATTTTTTTTGTTTTTAGACATAATTTAATTTAATTAGATTTAATGTGATGTCAATATGGTAAAACTAATAATTAAAATAAAGTTTTGTTAAATTAAATGGCAACCATTTTATTATAAAATAATTCTGGTGTGAAATTTGACTTATTATATTAAACAAAGCAATATTTAAAAAATGCGAAGTAATCAAAAAGTAAGTAAGCATATCAAGGAATCTAATAATTATTAAATTAATGAATTTAGGGAGCGGCCTGCAAAAAAACATTCACCTGGTATAATATTTAATACAAAAATATTTTAAATATTGCCTAAATAAAAATGCTAAAAAAATGTTTTTCTGTCAGTCCAAATAAAAAGTTAGGGGTGGGTATACATTATAATGTTAAAAAATATCAGAAAAACTATTTTGTTCCACACTTACTTATAATTGAGACATTATAAAATGGACAAAGTAAGCTATTGTTAAATCAGTTTAACAATGAAAATATTGTACAATTAGTGGAACAATGAAAAAGAAGAAGACAATTATTGTTAATATTGTTGACAACTATAATAGTTATATAATAATTATATACAATAAATCTCAGATATTTTTTACACACAGTTGATGGAATTAAATTTTAATATACGGTATATTATATACCTATAGGTAATCACAAAAAACATAATTCAATGTAAAAAAACGTAACCTTTAATAAATAGATACCTAATTACATTTTTGCACTATTAAATCATGGTTTTAGTGAGTCTGGTGTGTAATGTATAATAATCTCAAAAAGCAATGTTATAAAACTTAACCTCAAAAAACAAAACACTTATTTGTCAAATCATTTGTACAAAAGTATTAATTTTGATTTAATTTTTTTATTTGATTTTGGAACAATATAATATGTGCAACTCGTGAAGAATAGTCACTACGCTCGCATGCCAAACGAATACTCGTTTTCTTCACTTGTTGCACAATATACTATTTAAACTTATTAATAACAATATGTACTTACCAGTTTCATATTGCTTATTAAATCCTTTTGCCTACACCACAAATTGATTGAAAAGTATCTAAACAAAACTACTGTATCTCAACTAGGATTCTGTTAACTAACTACCTTATCTCAATGCCACTCAAAAAATTTATCGAAAACTTTATGTTCCTCCTTTCTTTTAATAAAATATTCCACACAAGATTATTAATAACTTGTCTAGATTAACATTAGGTCAGGATCAGGTCCGCATGGAGATTTTTACATTTGTGTTATTAATTTTTATGACGAATTATATTAAGCCAGATTTATATCAATAGCCACTTAATTAAAAAATGTTAGGTAATTCCACCTTGATGGACAATACATTGTGCAATGTAAAGAATAAGCCAGTGAAGTCATTTTGCCTTATTTAGTAAACTTTGGTCTGATTTTTTCGTCAGATTATATCGTATCCATATATTATATGCTCTATTTATCCCATAAGGCATAATTGGGTCATTTTAAAAGGAAGCTAATTCTTTCTATTAGCCACCGTTTCTTACTTTTACCTTGATTAAAATTATATACTGCATTACAAAAAATGTATTAAAAATATTATTGAATTGGAATATATTAATAAGAAACGGTGGCTAATAGAAAGAATTAGCTTCCTTTTAAAATGACCTTGCTCGTTTTATTTATATTTTATACATTGCACTAACTTTCTATGGGATATAATGATTAAAAGTTTGGACACCTCCACATCATTACAACGTACAATAGTTTTTTAAAAACCAAGGTTAATTTAAGCATAACATAAACATATTTTTGGTGGAACTGAAATTTATTTAAAAACCTTGGTATTCTAAAATATGTAAATTAATTGTTAATTTTTTTTTGTTTTTATTTGTTAAGTGAAATCACAGAAATATGTGAATAATTTAATTATAACGTGTTTTGAAAAACTGTTCTTTTAAAACTTGTTGGGAATATTTAATTTGTTAAAAATATTAAAATAGTATATTATACATGTACATTATATAATATACATATTTTGTTGATAAACGCCATTTTAGACACGAATTTAATTTAGTTAAAAGTTTATAAACGAGTTGCATACTATACATGTATGTGTAAATCGAAATGTATCCCTTAAAACAGACCGTTTAATCTGATATAGAAGCAGTTCTTAACATTGAAAGTGAAGAAAATGTTTTATTGGCACTCCACGGAGGAGTCTCCACCCAAAATTAAGTTAAATCTAGTTTACTGCAAGCGAAATTAAAAGGTCAGTACAATTTTCATAAACTTTTCAAATATTGGCGTGGATAAACTATTTAATACTTTTGTATTTTTCTATTGAGAAAATAAAATAATTTTATCATTTAGTATTATTTTATAAAAATAGCATTTTATTTTAAGGATTATATGACATTTGGCAACTGTCAACTAACTTAAAACTAATTTCAGCCCGTGACTAAAAGGCCATAAAGCCACTTGTCAATGTGTATTTAAAAGGTCACTTCGTGTCATGTACGATAATGGGCGTTTTAAAGGTGGGAGTATACAAAATAAATTAAATACCTGTTTTTATTTGTTTTGTTAATTTAATTAAATAATTACTATTAAGAATATTAATTGAGGCTAAACTTAACCCTCTATTGAAATGTAATACGTCAATATCAATTTTAGCTAGATTTAACTTCCTTAAAAAACTATTAAAAAATTGAAATCAAATTATGAAAATTGTTAAAAATCACAGAAATTTTATCTTTATCAACCCATTAATTTTTCATTTTATTTTTGTAAATGACTTCTATGCGACACGGTAAAACAAAAGAAAACCATCTCTCGCTGGCACACGCGATAATTTATTGAAATCGGAAAAATAATACGAATATTGAAATAAAAAAAACGATAACTCACGATGGTCGAAGTTAATTTAAAATGTACTATAAAAACTGGCGAGCCAAGCAAAAACAATTGAGAGAGCGTCTGAATATCCGGGGACATGACGTGAAATCAGCTCAACAATAAATCCGGGATTCTGAAATAATAAAATAAATAAAAAATTTAACGGAGATGGGGGTGGTTAATTTCAATAACCATGCGGTGTCCGTGGCAGGAAACTTTGAAAAATATTACGGCGAACAGATTTATATTCCTGACTGGTTTAAGCGCGCCGCGGCGCTTACTGGACGCTCCTGCTGATGCCCATTCCTGCTGCCTCATGACGCCTGCTGATACTGCCATTGACATCAAAAAATATTAGACATGAACGAATAAATCGATAGGTTTAATGATAAAAAACCTATTTTATTTTACTCATTAAGGTTAAAACATATTTTTCTACTCCCCCCTTTAAAACGCCCATTATCGTACATGTTTCCATGACACTAAGTGACCTTTTAAATACACATTGACAAGTTGTAGCTTTACAGCGTTTTAGTCACTGGCTGAAGTTAGCAACAGGTTTTTAGTCACACACGGAAGTTAGTTATAATCATTAAAATAAAGTGCCCTTCTTGTAAAATAATATTAAATGTAAAAATTATTTTATTACCTCAACAATACAAAAGTATTAAATAGTTTCTCAGCGTCTATATTTGAAAAGTTTATATAAACTGAATTTTTAATTTCGCCGGCAGTAAACTACAT